GCTCAGCCATCTTATATAGCGGTATTGCAATTACAATACCTCTGTGAAACAAATTGAAATGAAATGAAATGGGGTTTAACGTCCTACTGTTCTGCTCCTAAACTGGGCTAATGAAGACGGGAAACAAATTGAACCTGGGTTGGATCTTTACTATTGCGACATTGTGATACAAGCAACAAAATCAAATGTCGCTGATAAATACACGCACTGTGGACAGTAATTCTTACGGATAAACAATCTAACGAAGGCTGTGAACCGTGTTCAGGTATAACACGACAAAGAAAATTATCTATTGACAATATTGCTACTAAATATAAAGGACGAAATGTTAGAAAGTGTATGCTATAACCGGTTGATTTGGATTTCATTAATTGTTGTAGAATGTTCAGCTGGTACTGATGTGGATATGAACAGGTTATTTAAGGACAAAGTGTATTCATTAAACCCGCATATTCGCCCATTACGAAACCAATCAGAAACACTGGTTGTCTTCTTCAGGTTAAATATTTTTTAGCAATACTAGATTTAGATGAAACGTTTCAAAAAATATCAACACTTTCGTGGTTGGAAATAAAATGGAGAGACGAGCTCATTGCTTGGAACGCTAGTGACTATGGCGGAGTAATTCAAATCTCCCCTGATCCAGGCAATATGTGGGGACCAGCCCCAGCCGCCACGAACACGACTGGCGAGAGTAATCCAATAGGACAAGGATTTATACGAATACACGTCAAAAACAACGGTGATGCATCTTTTTTACCTAAAGGTAACTTTGATACTTTTTGTGAAATAGATACATCTAAGTATCCGTTTGATACACAAACGTGTAGACTAGATTTCTTTAATTGGGATTCTATAAATGGTGGAGTAGCATTAAAGACTTACAATGGTGGAATTTCTGAAAGTGATTTCTCTTACAATGGCGAATGGGATTTGGTAGGTTCGTCTGCACGTGAATATGACGTGATATTTCATAATGGAGCAATATTAGAAAACCATATAGAAATAGCCATTACCATCAAACGACGTCCATCAATAATTGTGTTAACGGTAATACTGCCCGTTTTACTATTGTCCTTAACCAAGATCTGTGCGTTCATCATATCAGCGAGCAGTGGCGAGAAATTGTCATTTTCGATCACAATTTTATTGTCTATGGCAATATATATGTCCTCAATTAATTCTGTCATGCCTCAAGCCACTGATGAAATTTCGTACCTTGTTATCTACATTTCTTCTGAACTCATCCTCAATTCATTGGTCGTATTGATGCCAAGTATAAGTCTGGCTATCTACCACCGGGATTGCAATGAAAATGACAGCTCAAACACTCTAAACAGACTACTTTGCTGTTTGACATGCAAAGCCTCAAGAGAATCAATGTGCAACACTAAAGATAACAATATCTACCATTCAATCAGTCGAAAGTTTGATAACATATGTCTGTGGATAATTTTGGGAATAACGACAACTGTAATGGTGATTTTTATCTTGGCAGTACTTTGGTGAGACTGGGAGTAGTATTTGAGACTGTCTGTATGGTAATAAAGAGTATATATAGAACACAATGAACGGCTAATAAGGAGGGAGAAAACATAAACAATCTGTTTTGGTGTATTATTACTAATCGAAGTGGTGCCAGACAATAACAAAACTGTCTTTGTATTGCTTTAAAGACACAATAATGGAGTTAATGAGAATCTGAAACGCGTTTTACGTCAAGTCAATACAAATCACATATAGGTTTTATTTATTTTAGTTTACAGTTTACCATTTCTTGGTAGATAACTTTTACATTATTGGCCGATCCCGCTGAAATTGATTAATTCTAAAAAAAAAAATTGCGTTTCACTTCGCCAATATGCGTATATTATTGATAGATAAACATCTAGTTTCGTCAGGGCTCTTCCAATTAGAAACACTCTCTGAATGCTTGTTTTATTGGTTGGAAAGCGATTATTTGCACACGGAAAATACAAATTAAATTATTTTTAAGACCTTATTCTTCTCTGTAATTGTACGCAAAATCGCCAATTTTGGCTTGTGGTCCCTCTGGAGTTCACAATTATTATCCGATTGAAGGTTGAGTTCGAATTTCGTGAAGATCGGACCAAAATTGCCGGACAAAATGGCCGTCGATTGTACGCGAATAGTGTAAAAAAATATGGTAAATCAAGGTTGTGGACACTGTTTAGGTCACTGTTTAATTCGATTTTGATGAAACTTGAAATGCATGTTTATAACATAACGATCATGGTTCCTTTCGATATTTGCCCATATAGGATAGTAACCTCCTGAATTATGGCCCCTGCTTGTACGCAAAATCACCAGTTTTAGCTTGTGGCCCTCTGGAGGTCACAATTATTATCCGATTGAAGGTTGAGTTCGAATTTCGTGAAAATCGGACCAAAATTGCCGGACAAAATGGCCGCCGATTGTATGCGAATAGTGTAAAAAATATGGTATATCAAGGTTGTGGACCCTGTAGAAATTTGATTTCAACCTTTCTTATGGTGTTACGGTGATATATTCAAACGATTTTTAAATTCAGATAATAACTGTGACCTTCAGAGGGACCACAAGCTAAAAAAAGGTGTTATAAACATGCATTTCAAGTTTCATCAAAATCGAATTAAAATTGTGACCTAAACAGGGTCCACAACCTTGATTTACCATATTTTTTTACACTATTCGCGTACAAACGGCGGACATTTTGTCCGGCAATTTTGGTTCGATTTTCACGAAATTCGAACTCAACCTTCAATCGGATAATAATTGTGAACTCCAGAGGGACCACAAGCTAAAAATGGCGATTTTGCGTACAATTACAGAGAAGAATAAGGTCTTAAAATTATTTAACCTTCCTTAGGGTGTAACGGTGATTTAATAATACGTTTTGTTTAAATCGGATAAAAAATTATGACCTCTATGGGGTCCACAAGCTAAAAACGCGATTTTTCGTACAATCAGGGGCCATAATTCAGGAAGTTACGGTCCGATATGCGCGAATATCGAAAGGAACTGAGATCTTTGGGTTATAAACTTACATTTCAAGTTTCAACAAAACCGGATAAAAATTGTGATCTCTATAGGGTCCACAAGCTAAAAACGTGATTCTTCGAACAAACAGGGGCCATAATCCATGAAGTTCCGAGATCTTTTGGGGATAAACCTATATTTCAAGTTTCGTCAAAATCGGACAAGAATTGTGACCTGTAGAGAGTCCACAAACAAATTGTGGACGGACGGGCGGACCTCAGGACGGACAGGGGCGAGGACAATATACGTACACATCCATATAAATTATTGAAGCTTGTTATTTCTGGACACCCAAAATGGATATTTTTATTGTCCCCCGCCTTTCGAAGAAGGCTATATGTTTAGTATATAGCGTAGCAATTTTGATAAAAGGGAGATAACTTTTTAAGTTTAGGGTCATAGTTGCACGCTAGTAGTAAATCGGCCCCATACATGTCAAGAATAAAATTATATGTAGTTTTCCAAGTCTTGATGCATGAGTCTAAATTTTCTTTATTCAAAAAATGCTGCGAGCTATCATCATTCCATTCAAATCTATCACATTTAAGCCCCTACCCCCGCCATATTCTTCATTTGACTGATTACATTTCGTTTAACTTTATTTGGTCCGTTCCATAAAAACTAAAAACTCAAATATCTTAATATTAAATCTTTCAATTAAACTCTCTGACATTGTTAACGCTGATGCTGGATACAGTATTTTTGATATACAAAAAGTTTTGATTATTTGAATCTTGCCGATTAATATAAGTTTCTTCTTTTCCAAGTATTTAATTTTTTATCTATCCCAATCAATCTATTCTCATAGTTTAATTTTTCAGACGTTTTTGTATCTTTGGATAATACTATACCTAAAAAATTTATAGTCGAATTTAACTTAACTAAATATTTTAAATACTTCATATAAATGTCAAGCTGATTTATAATCTTCAAAAAAATAAACATGTCATGTCATCAGCAAAAGCAATTGGTTTTAATGTTTCCTGACCAATGTCAACCCCTTTCTATTGGAAAATATGGCGTAGTAAAACCGTTATTTATCACACAACAATTTACAACATTATAAAGGGTACACACACACACATATATATATATCTAATAAAATTACGTTTACATCCAAAGGGGGCTATTACTTTAAACAAAAACGTATGACTAATACTGTCAAAAGCTTTTTTAAAATCGATAGCTAGGAGAAAGCATTTTATTTTCTTTAATTTTGCTAGATAAAAACAATCATTTATTATTCGTATATTTTCCTGTATATGGAGCCCTGGTTTAAAAGCTGTCTTATTATGATGTATAAACGGTTTTAAAACTGAATACAAATTGTTACTTCTAAAGCTAAATATGCGATTTTTCGAACAATCAGGAGCCATAATCCAGGAACTTATGTTACATGAAACTCCCAAAGCGAAGTCATCTTTGTTGCCAACAGTTACTCCTCTTTTACTCTCGTATAGCAGGCTGGAATTATTTCAATGACAGATGACACTCGTCTCTAAATACCGCAATAAGACTAATTTCCTATTCTTTTAAAAATCTTCAAACGTTAAAAATATTTATTTTTTTGTCGATAATTCATTTACCAGCAATTTGCAGGAAAGCAATGACGGTCTAAATCTACTGAGAATATTTTCAAAAATGAACGCAAGCACGTGGCCAAATAACGACTTTTTAAAATGGGTATAAAAATGTTTCCAAAATAGTTCCGAAGAAAATCCCAAAATATTTGAGCTACAATATCGATAAACACGTTGTTTTGTATTTATCGGGGGTTTATTGTCCATTTAAACATGCTTGAATTATACATTAGAACAACTCGACGTTGTCGCGTCTTGTGTTCTGATGATTCAAGCATATTTAAATGGACAATAACCCCCCCCCCCGAAATACGAAACAGGAAGTGTTTATTTCCTAATTCAATTACACCATTTCATTTAGAGTCGGGTAAAATGCATTTATTTTCAATATATACCACCCATAAGAAATATGGTAGTCATCAAAAACACAATAACTAAGAAAAACCAGAAGCAAATTCTATCCAATCTTTGACTAATGTCACTTCCTGCTACCCCATCCTCTTTGATTGGATAAACACAGTTGTCTGAATTAATGGAGATGCAAATAAGTTTAAGGAACCAGCGTGGTATACGGCATCTGTTAGTATCCCTATGGTAAATCCTTAAATTACAGCAGGTAATCAAAACATACAAGGAACTGAGAACCAGCTGAGTTGAAATATAAATGGAGAGGCCGGAAATGGTGTCAGTTGCCTGGGGCATTAGATCGGATATAAAGCTGAGGAAAACAGCCTGTGCGAGAAGAATTGTGACAGAAAAGGAGAGTTTTTCACCAGATTCAGTGGGTAGAAGGAACACGAATACGTTGAGGAATGCCAGAAGAATAACTGGCAACACCAATGTCAACACTAGGCTAACATATTTCCTTTTTAATACCACAATAACTCTAATCATTTCATGTCCATCCACAGCCCTCTTCATAGATCGTCTCTCTGCAAAAATTAAAATGAAAAACCTAAAGCCGAATACATATAAAAAATCCATTTAGCAACACGGCCACGAGAGGACCATGCAGAAATTGGGGAAAAACCCTGATAACTCTGGGGGTCAGCAATTTTCAATCATACTAGGTCTGTGGGGACACCTAGGCGACAGAAGTTAGAGGATAAAGTAAAAAAAAACTTCGAACGGACATCTTTCGGTATAACAGGAAATTGTTTTTTGGGGGGCAACATTTGACACATTTTGAACAATTTTTTACCCTAATTTCAAAACGCTCCTACGCAAAATGTAGTCTCTAAATTATTGATATTGGTCAGCTATGATAGGGCTAGTCATCGACTTAAAATCCTGCGGTCGTGTGGGAATGAATTAATCGTGTGGAATTTTTTGTGAGTGTAGATGTTCATAAAGTAAATGGCTTGACTGGGTTGAATGATTAACATTTTCTGCTAAAGCTAAGCAATTTCATTGGTCGATGCTTTGGGGCAAGATAACTTAGATTCTAATTTATGGAGAGTGGTGGCACTTAGTATAGCCTTTTACTACCAGGTACTTCAAAACCTTTACTGAGTTCGATTGTGAACATTTTCTGCTAAGACTACGTATAGATAATCAACTTTCAGCGATTTTATTATTTCGTGCTATTTTCTTTCGCGTTAATATGTTTTCTGTTAAAATATGATTAATGAATCAGACTAGGAACGATAGACCATTGTTCCGCAATTGTCCACCGTGCCGCAAAGCCTGGGCCAAACAAACTGCTTATCTGTGCTTAGCCTAAGAAATAAATGCTCATTGTCGAACCCATTCAATACATTTGCCGACCTAATGAACACATACATCAAGTTTTAACATTGTGTCTACAGGCTTACACGTTTTAGGTATTATATAGACCCAAAGTAGTGAGTCAAGGGGTAACCGTCATTAGGGATGACATACCTAAGGTCAAACTGTATGTACCGGCATTTGGAGACAAACGGTTATGTCAAAAACATATCCACATCTGAAGCTTATCTACTATTTACAAAGATTGTTAACGCATCGTTTCATTAATGTTGTGCTGTAATTCATGTTGAGTTATTATTAACCAAGAATACACAAATATTAGGAAACAAGAGTCCTGTATCAAAATATCCAAGCCCGAACATTCAAGGAACTATACAAGAAGTGCACTTGTACAATATACCTTAATTTGTAGTCATTATGGTCTTCTAATATTAAATTTCCCCTACCTGTTACTGTCCATTCCGAGTTGGAGTAGGAAACATAACCCTTTGACGAATCATATTCTGGTTCACGGTATTTCAATGATGTTTCCTCTTTTGTCCCGGCCCAGTTGAAAAATTCCATATAACATGTCTGTGTATCGAATGGGAACTTAGTGACATCAATCCTACACAGGAATTGAACCTTTTGGCCAGGGACCCATACAGTTTGACCGTCATGATAAGATTTCAAGAGAACGAAATCTGAGCCAATGGGCGTCAGTTCGTTATATCCGTTACTCATGGCCAATTCCGGTTTCCACATATTTTTGTCTGGTGGGTAAATCAAAGTGAGATTACCATAATCGCTGGGATCCCACACAAGTAATTCATTCTTCCAATGCACCTGTTGATTTAAATAAACATAATTTAGGGTTACCAAATACACTCCTGATACCATGGGTGATGACGTTCTAGTTTGTTTCACAGGAACAACATGGGATGCAATTGTGTGAAAAACAAACTGATATTACAATACTGATGTAAATAAAAACATTTCGTAATTTGAGAATGCATCTTTATTATTTAGAGAAAGAGTAAAGACCCTTCCCAAAATACAATTTTTGAAATGAAAGTAATGAGGCATGATTTGCTTTTACCGAACAAATATGACGGCTTAAACCACGCTAACATTTATTTAACATTATTTAATAAGAAAACAAATCCAAAAATACAAACGCCAGATAATCTGCCGGCTTCGATGCTATTGGATTAAAACAAGCCAATAAATTTGGTTCACAGGAAATAAAAATGGCGGCGTTTTTGTTACATAAGGAGCAGCATAGATCGGTGGAATTTTCATTTCGTCGTATCTTTATAAATACTGAACATAATCGAACTGATATTGCTGTTAGAGATTCAACTTCCACAGTATTGTTGTGTGCAATGCCTTCCTATGGCGCTCATATAACACTCATATAACAGCCCAAATATTCTAGGTTAATCTGAACTTGTCATGAAGCCAGCTACTCTATTCTGCTAAATATAAGATTACATTAGTACTAATGGAAGGTAGGCCCTACTAGAAAGTAACATGCATTGAATGGTGATTTTTCAAATTCGTGTACGCTTTTCGGCTATTCCACTCGAATTCCTTTAGTGACAATATGATGTAGGGACTATGTTCTTTAGTTACACCACAACGATACATTTCATTACTAGTGTATAGTAACCTCCGTCAGCAAATTTAAAGTGTAAACAAGAATATGTATCTCAATTTACATTATATATTTTCAAAACAAGTTTTATATTAGCTTACCTGCATCCAGATTGTAGCTTCAACTGATTGCTGTGCTTCGTTCACATCCAATATAGCTACCATGAAGAGAGTTATTTCTACATCAACTATCTCTGATTGGTTCTTCAGTGGTCTGATTTTACTGTTACCTTTATTCGCTTTGTCTTGAAATAATCTTTCAACATCTCCATCTGTGACTCCTTCTGATGAGCACAGGAGCATAGACAATAGTAGCACCATGCGTGCTACATGTAGAGGAATGGTCCCATTCATCATGCTAAAGATTCGCCGGTTTGGTAATAACATTTCCTTCCTTATGCATTCTGGGCCGATGTAATGAACTAAACGAAGGAGGGTAGAGTTCCCCCTACTATCAATGACTAAATTATATTTGGTTGTAACAAAACAGTCTGTAATATTAGTCTGTAACTATCAATTTTATCGACTGTTGTTTACTTTGTCGAATCATCTGAATACTAAGTAGATCAACAAACCTTATTTATCTACTAGTATGTTAATGGTGTTTTCCAAAGTCTTTTCAGTGCTACCCCCATGGGTATCTATAGCTTTGCTCTCAGAACATATATGTTTATTTTTATTATACTTACTAACAAACTATGAAAGAAGAGTAATTGCTATCTATTTTGGATTAAAATTGAATGCTAGTTTTTATCTATAGTTGATGCTAGACGAAACGTCAATGTGTCATTGTCATGGGGGCGGGTAATTGTTTAGTATATTTCTAAACAGTACTCACAGTTATCTTGGGGACAGGAACAATCTGAATATTGTTGGTATCAACATTTACACGCCTCCAAACGCGAGCACGCCTATCGGTGAAATCCATGTCTCGAAACACGAGCACGCCTATCGGTGAAATCCAGAATAAATCGTGACTCATCTGAGAACATTAGACGCGCCCATCGACGATTACCCCAATTTCTACGCTGCCTACACCATTGACGCCTGTTTGCCATGTGCTGGCGAGTTAATGGAAGCACAACACGCGGTCGTCGCGCATGCAAATGGGCTGCATGTAGCCGATTTATAATCCTTTGGGGTGTAACTCGAATTCCTGTAACTTGGTACAAGTTTACAAAAAGCTGATTGGCCGTTTTGTCCTCGATTTCGCAGGACCTGTGTACGAATGTATCGATCCTGGGCTTGTGTAGTGGTTCTCGGACGACCTGAACGAGGTCTATCAAACATTGTGTGTTTGGTGGTACCGGTTCCACAGTCTGCTGATCACAGATCGTGACACATTAAGCATGTTGGCTACTGCTCGCTGTGTAGAACCCATTTGAAGCATGCCAATAGCACGTAGACGTTCATCATGTTGAAGGCGTCTCATTGCAAATTAAACGTAACACACTAAAGCAAAGATACGCTAAGCAGTAAATCTTATGCAAGAACCGATAGGAAAGGAAGCATGGATAGGATAAACCAGCACGCGACAGTTTTCATCAACCCTTCCTTGAAGTGTCAAATTTGACAATGAACCCCTCCCACGTGTATGGCGCTATTGCGTGTCACACGTGCAGCTCAGTGGTTCTGTTGGGGCGATAAGTTCTTCATCTGTGAACATACTCTTAAAGCATGCCAAGTGTCCATGACTATCATATCACAACCTACATAGGTATTTGCATTTCAATATCCCCTACTTTTTTTGAAGAGTATATATGCCATTCAAAATATAAACAATAATACAGCGGTATCAACCGCTAAGCACCTGCTAAGAGTTTTTCTGGGATTTTTTAAAAGTCATTAACAGTATGAACAGAAAAAGGAAAAGAAAACTATTGGAAAGTTCTTAATTAATTTTTAAATTTGACATCTTAACAATGAAGACATTCTGTGGCGCCCTATTACCATGGTGCCCTAAGCACGTGCTTATTTTGTTTAATGGTTAATCCAGCCCTTGGTAGAATAGGCGCCGGGACCACCTAACCGTGGCTCGCGAATACTTCACTACTGTATTCTACTCATCCTCAGTATCCCCAGTGTTGTCATTCTGTTTTACTCCGCTATAGCCTGGCTTAATCCATAGGGTTTCCGCGATTTCAAATTATCTGCCCTGTCCTTGGTTGTAGCTAAAGTCTACGAACCAATCAAAAACAGTTTACAAACCAGTCGTTTCGCCATCGTTTTTTTATAAGGGTAGATAACCAAATTCATGTCCATTTACTGAATGATTTATGTAAATACTGTATATATTTCTAATTCATTTATATTTAATTGTATTATCAAAATATGTAGTATGTTTCACGGATTTCAAATATGTATAACATCTATATGTTGACTTTTGTTATTATTTCTATTCGTTCTTTGTCTGAAATGTTTCATTCTGTTATGTTTATTATTATTGAACTTATACTTGGCAATTTGATTCACAATAACTTGTCTACAATATCACTAGGACGTAAAACTCCGCGAATGGACGATTCCCATATAAACTCTTGAACCTACAGATGTAAACGTCTGGGTTTCATTAATATAATATTATATAATTTGTTGTTAATAAATACGCATCAGAATAATTTGGACTTCTCTCATTTAGGCTAACTCCTAACCTTGTCCGACGAGAGTTACTTCCCTTTGCCAACTTCCTTTGCAATTAACGATTTATGGGATTGGTCGATAAAAATAGCACAAATGTCCCCCGCCCCCTAGATTAACCCAGGGGTTAGTGGAGTAGAACGGAATGAAACCTCTGGGGATACCGAGGACGTATTCCACTAGACTGTTAAAATTAAACAGAGCAGAGATACATAAATTGATTGCTCGATGCTGTATAAAAGATAAATGTGAATTAAGTGATGTGTATCATTTTTTTATTTGGGATTGAGGTGAAGGAAATCATCCTCATTGGTCTACAACAATAAATCTGTTCATTTTAGTAACCCCCACTTCCCTCGACAATAGAAACTATCATGTGCGTATCTGAGGTGTTAAACCATGAAAAATAAATATTGCCGCCATTAAAAAGACAGCAAACAGGAATATCCAGAAGCAGATTCTGTCTAATCTAAGGCAGGCTTGACTTCCGGTAGCAGCGTTGGCCATGGTCACCAGCTGTGCATCCTCAGTGTCACAATGCTTCACATTGGATTTAAAGAAACCTGTTAAAAACTGTAACCTCTATCGCGGTGGGAAGGGGCATAACTCCTGAACGGAAGGTCCTGTGCGCACCAAAATCTTTATCCGTGATCTTTCGATCCGGAACATATTTAAGGTTATTCTAGAATTGGGCAGTAATCTGGCGGGCGTGGGAGAGAACAGAAGGAACGATGCACACACAAATCGAAATCATCCAGGATTATTTAAATCGGACATCTAACCCTGTGTATTACATGCTTTGCCACTATTAGCTTATAGGGTGGGGCCGTTGTGACGGATGCGATCTCAATAGTGATTGTTGTGTAATGAACATATATTATTATAGCTGTAGTTAAAATCAAATAAAAAAAGAGTACATTTTCGTACCTCCAGGGGCAATAATCCAGGAGGTTACTGTCTGATAGTACCAAAATCGAACCCATCTGTGTTCTTTGTGATGTAAACATGCATTGTAAGTTTCATCAAAATCAGACAAAAATTGTGACTTCTAGAAGCTCAACATATAAATGTGGACTGACTGGTCGGTCGACAACATAATACGTCCAAAGTTTAAAAAAAAAAATAAAGGAGTTATTTTTAGTTTATTAGGGGAAATAATCCAGGAGGTTACTGTCAGATAGTACCAAAATCGAACCCATCTATGTTCTTTGTGATGTAAACATGCATTGTATGTTTCATCAAAATCAGACAAAAATTGTGACTTCTAGAAGCTCAACATATAAATGTGGACTGGCTGGTCGGTCGACGACATAATACGTCCAAAGTTTAAAACAAAATCAACCAAGGAGTTATTTTTAGTTTATTAGGATTCTTTGAAACTTGTCTAAATTCAGTTATTTTAAGTTTATTAAATTGCTTTGAAACCTATTTCAATTCTTTGTTGTTTTCTTTAAATATTGGTATCCAATATTTAATACACAATGAAAAGTTTAAACTTGGCACACAAATCGCGTGCCAGAATATTTTCGAGTGCCATTTTAATGGAATGACTGGATGAACGGGGCTAAACATATCCCACAAAGGAGGACTATTGGGGTAGACTGGAATAACCAGACGCCAAAGACTGTCATTCCGAAACTTAACTGATTAGGAATTACAGTAAAAACATAAATGATTGAATGTAAATCAGTTTATATACATTCATATACATTATTAAATGCGTTCGACCCATTTGTGTCCATTTCTAGGTGCCAAAGAATAGCGATTTAGCACCTTTAAATTTTAATTATTGATATGCACATCATTATGTTAAAGCCAAATAATGTGTTATTAGGAATATTATACTACTGATAATAACTTTTTGTAATCGGCAATGTTTGATCAACTAAGTACATTTGTTAACAACTTTATCGCGATTGGATCAAAGGGGCACAGCCATCTGCTTGATATAACAAATAATAATGGTTTTAGTGTAAGTGACGTTAGGTAGGGGCAAAATTAATATCAACGATAAATGGCACGAATATTTTTGGATTAGATATTGACTGTGTGACCGGATTTATCTAGATTCCCGTATTCAAGCCAGTTATGGAAATAAAGATGTCCCGTACGAAACATCAATGTCATCTGGTCTACTGATAAATCTTTAAATATATCTTCATTATTCAAGCATTCGATCACATATATTTATGATAAATTACAAAGTTTTTCCAGGTGGTTGAGTCTCATCTGAACAATTTTGTACCAGCCTATTGAATTTATGTGACTGCAGTTATCCGATCGATAATAGTAACAACATTGTCAATTACATTTAAAAGCGTAACAGTGGAAAACGGTTGTATACCGTTCTTGATGCTACAACTGCAAGGAAGAATTTGGAAATGATATACTAGAATATCCGATCTTCACAAGCAAGATAGAGTAACCAGGCTAGTTGATACTTTTGTTAGATTGCAGATCCACACACATAGTTCTACGCGGGAAATCATTTATAGCTTGTCACTGCTTTCTAGGGTTTTATCCTCGGAGATGTCGCGAAAGTTAGTGTTGGACTACATTAGTCTGTTGTGGACATTCTGCGTAATCCATACGGGCATGTCGGGCTCATTGGAAGACACGAAAAGGTTATTTAAGGACAAAGTAGAGCCTTTGAATCCCCGAATTCGCCCATTACTAAATCAATCAGAAACCATCGCAGTCAGTTTCCTCTGTCACATTTCAGCTGTTACGGATTTTGATGAAACATTACAGAAAGTGTCAATGACCTCATGGCTGGATGTAAAATGGCGAGATGAACTGATCGCATGGAACGCAAGTGGATATGGTGACGTTACTAAAATCTCACCCCATCCAGATGATATATGGCGACCAAATGTAGCAGTAGATGGGACGTTTGGCGGAGCAGAGCTCGTTGGTGATGACACAATTATCATTATTGTGAATAACAAAGGCGATGCTTTATGGACTCCAGGAATAAAGTCAGAAACCTTTTGTCGAGTAGATATATCAAAATATCCGTTTGATACACAAGTGTGTAAGATTGATTTCTTTAACTGGGGAACTATTTCTGGCGAATTGTCCTTAAGCAGTGATGGAATTGATACTAGTCACTTTTATAGGAACGGAGAATGGGATTTGATTGACACGTCTGGGCGTGATTTTATTATTGAATATAATGATGGAGAATATAGTAAACCCCACGTTGAAATAACTATCACCATAAAACGCCGCCCATCCACCATATGCTTGACCGTAATTCTTCCGGTGATACTATTGTCTTTGATCAACGTCTGTGCATTCATCATACCGGCTGAGTCTGGCGAAAAGCTGTCCTTTTCCGTCACGGTTTTATTGTCTCTCGCTGTCTTTTTGTCCTTCATTAATTCATTGATGCCCCAAACCTCCGAAACAATCTCTTACTTGTCTATTTGGATTTCCTCACAGTTGGTTCTTAGTTCTGTGGTCGTTCTTCTGGCAAGTATAAATTTGGCCATCCACCATGGACAAATTAAGTCAGGTAAAACCAACAAAGCATTTGACCGAGCTCTGATGTGGATGACACATAAAGCTGTAGACGATTCTAACTACCCGGCCAAAGAAAACCATATGTTTCATTCTGCAAGTGATAAGTTTGACAGGAAGTGTTTGTGGATTATTTTTGGACTAACAATTTCTATAATGCTGCTTTTTTTCGTTGCATTAATCGTATAATATGAAAACACTATACCATTTTAACTTCAGATATGATTTATATGCCGCTCTGAACAATAAAAGTAATTAAAATAAATTTTCAATGAATATGTTTACGTATAATTTCTATCTAAGATATGATATTTGATAGAAATTCAGAAGTAGAGATTTTGTGCTCCGACTGGGGATACGCCATGCCATCCATGGTGTGCTATGATGGACGTTTTGCCCGGACAGTGTAACAATGACCTACCCTTATTTCAAATACCAACTGTCAAGAGTTATTTTACGGGACCGCGGTATTTCGTCCCATTCGAACGATATCCCTCACCCGTCCTGCCACTCTGACAAGGGGTGGCGGACCATCCCGATGAACTTTCTCGGCCAACACCGTGATTGAACATGGTACCTCAAGTTTAGCGAGCCAATGTTTTACTCACTGAGCCGCCACGGTTCAAAAAACAGAACAAGATAATAAATGAATGTCTACATATTTCAGTAAAAGTAAATTCCCTCCCCTACTAGCACACTTGAGTCTATAGATAAAGACAACATCTGCACATTTTCATTTTATTTCGCAATCAGATTCCATACACTTCCTAACTTATTTGATGACTGTTGGTGAGAATTTCGAATAATATCCTTAAATGTGTGAAATTAATGTATGTCAACGCGATGTGTGGCAGTAATATTCCGCAATGTTCGACATCGACTTCATATTATTTGACTTTATTCAATAAAATTGGTAGAAATACGAAATATTAAGTATACTACAAGTATGTCTCCGTATTCTACTTCGCCATAACAGTACATTAAAACTACATAATGTTGGATAATGCCCATCCAAGTGTAACAATTGTTACTTATAGTGCCCCACCAATCTCAAAATTATCCCTACGCCTTAGAAAGTAAATATAATGTACATGTATTTGGGATTTGGGTGATCGTTTGTAAGATCTGTTATTTAATCAAGTGGTGTGGTTTCGAGTCAAAGCCTTTGCTTACGATCCCAAGCGTGGGGTTTCTGCTAAGGACTCTTCTACACAAGCGAATTATTGAAATAAAATTTACCATGTTTTAGTCCCGATATGATCTAGTTTGTGTCGATTGAGAGAGAGAGAGAGAGAGAGAGAGAGAGAAATGGAGTTTAACGTCCACTCGACAAAAACTAGGTCATTTCGGGACTAACATATGGTTTAATTTTTAGCATTGGGAGGGAACCGGAGGACCCGGAGAAAACCCACGAGGTTGGACAGGCGACCCTACTCCTTGTCACGTACAACTGGGGATTCGAAACCACGCCAGTTGACTCAATGACAGCCTTTATGATACAGCGTGCACACGCTAACCATTCAGCCATCCAACCCCCCTGTGTCGATTGAACGTTAAACCATATCTCCTAGTAGATTTTACACTGCAGCTGGTGATGATGTTGTTTATGGATTACTAGCTGGATACTGGGCTTAATTTGATACCACATAATGTGGATTGCGGCGACTAAGCCTGATGGGCCAACATAACACACAAATATCTTTGATTTTATTGATATAGATTAGGTGTTCAAGAGCACCTTCGTGTTGATCCCGTGACGTCTTGGCATTATACTAGTACTACCGAATGGAGAAAATGTGGCAATGACGTATTTTGAGTGCAAATATACGAAATGGTAGGAAGGTCTAACACAGTGGTTCTCAACCTTTTTTCTTTGGCAATGGCACACTTTGGAAAACATGGAAAAAAAGCGACACACCAGGCTAAATATATATGAAAAATATTTGAATTTTGCAAAAAAACAACAACCAACCATGGCAAGTCATAGACGGCATACAACTGTAGACACAGACTAGTCATAGACACATAGAATGACTCAAACTAAATAATACTCAATTGGAATCACGTGGGTTTTTTTCGCATTTTCTTAATGTGCAGTTCAAAATTTCGCGGCACACTTAAGAAGATCTTGCGGCACACTGTCTGAGAATCACTGGTCTAACATATACATCTAAATTAAAACCGATATGTAAGGCCATCCTACATATCCAATGATTTTGTGCATCTTCTCGGTCACATCATAGGAAGTACCGTCTGGGGGTGGGGTGGGGGGCAAAAGAAGATCCCCTACCTGCGTATTGGCAATGCGGGTGCCGAGATGAACAAGATAACTCGGAACATATCGAGATATTCATCATATAATTCTGATCAATTTGTACTATATCAAACTATCAAAGGATGAAGCTAGTTTTTGTCTACATTGCTTTTGTTAAGAGGGCTTTGGAAGTTGGGGGATCACGTGGCTAAGTGGGTAAGACGCTGGCTCGCTAGCCTGGAGGTCGGGTGTTCGATCCCTGCATTGGCCGAGAAAGTTCATCCAGATTTTCCGGCGTGGTTCTCCCTTGTCAGTGATGCAGGAAGGAGGGGCTGACAAGGAAAGCTGTCTAGTCGTTCGGATGGGACGAAAACCGAGGTCCCGTGTACACATTGGCGTGCACTTAAAAGATCCCTTGGCAGTTGGAATTCGATATAAGAGTAGGACGTAGTGCCGCTGTCCGGGCAAAATTTCCCTCATAGCACACTGTATGGCGTATGCCCGTCTTCATTAGCCCAGTTCGGAGCAAAACAGTAGGACGTTAAACCCCATTTCATTTCATTTCATTTCTGCTTTGGGAGTTGATTGTGACCTGCTTTAAGACAGTCAAATAAAACTTATATACCTGTTTTGAACCTGTTTTGAGCCTGAAATCAAGTGCTGGGTTCAGCAAACTTTGTGCGAATTAACTTAGAAAAATACAATGCCGGTATTTTTAATATTATCCAAGCTCAATTAGTGTGATCAAACGGGAGTTAACAATATCCACTAGTCAGACATCCATTAATTAATTATATAAAAAAAATACCAATTATAACGCCAACATGAAACTATTGAACACTTTTATTACACTGAAGTAAGTAAATACCGATAACATTGTATAGAACAGAAATCCATTATAGGAATAAATGATACAATGAAAGTGTTTTAAGCCCATACAAACAATATGGTTGGTTATAATGTGAGGTTTGTCTGGATTATTTTGTAATTAAAGTCGAAACGATTCACCAAATTATAGTATGAACAAACAGCGTTTAAAATTAAAGAGACATTTTGCCGAGAGAGAAAAAAATAATTAGAAAACACGTTCATATTGGCATCTAAATTTGTAGGGATGGGTATGTTGTTATTCTTATAGTAATTCTAGATCTGATTTTCGTCCGGTTTCATACTTCGTGGTTCACTTTATCTGTTTCTAAAGACATATACGGCGCGTTCAGTTCTGCGCAGATTGATTGGCCAATTTAAGATACAGAACATTCGGCGATAATTTCTGGAAGGCTTTGATTGGTCAGATATTTAGTGGCTGTTTAATAAAGGGCAATGCCGCCATTTTTCCTTCGTGAGACGCGTAACACGCTAGTTAATATTTTATTTGGTAAGTGGTAGCTATACTTGACTAATAGGGTGTTGATTAATTTGATATATTTATTTATTAATCGCTAATATTTGGGACCTACAAATTGACAAAAATGGGTCGCAACGCATATAATTATGTAATATGAATGTATATAAACTGATTTGCATTCAATCGTTTCTGTTTTTACTGTAATTTCTAATCAGTTATGTTCGGCGAAATACGCCACAAGTCTCATGTGAATGGCAATCTTTAGCGTCTGGTTTTTCCAGTCTACACCGATGGTATTTATTGCGCATGCTCTCCAGATAAAAATATAGCATCACCATTTGACATGACTTGTGGAATACATGTATGTCTAGCCCTGTTCTTTGAGTCCCTTGTTCCAAATGGCGCTGATACGCATTATGGTACACGATTCGTGTACCAGTGGTAAAATGTTTATTTTGTCTTGGATATTGGATATCAGAAGCTCACCTTTTCCCTGTAAGATCACAAAATCAATGTTGATTTGAATTGAGAAATAATTCGTGTTTTCAATGTCGAAGATTTTTAATGATATTGAGTTAGAGGCTTAGCTACTTTAATTGAATTTATGTCCTCCGCCACCCCTTACTACATTCATGTTCCAGTCCATAATTCTACTGACTTGCTATTTAAGTTTTTATATAAATTTAATATAACAAAAATACACCAATTATCAATTATTAGACTATAGAGTACATGTTTCAAAATACAGAAATAATCAATTAATGGATTGAAGTATATATCTAAACAACTTGTGTAACACATATACAAACACAATATTCTATAATTTTGATTGGCACGTTACCGTATTGATAATCGCCCCACAGATAGCGGACTTTGAACTTTTAACTTCTATGTCAACTCATCGTTGCAATATTAAGTCATATTGATCGACACAAGTGTAAATACCTAGAATAATTATGGGATTAGTTTTAAATAACAATATCAATTTAAAACAGATGATATAAATGTGTAACACGTTGAAAGCTTCGTTAAATATCAGAAATGTACGTCCTGGTATATTGGAACGAAATAAAATGTATTCCATCTACTTAACAAGCGACGCAGTTCAGACCTACAGACAAGAGTAACTTAAAGTATATTTTAACTATAATCGAAAAATATATGTTGCTTGAGTGTATTTACTGATTTTAGGCCGATCTGTTACTTATATGTTTTACCTTGTGCCTAAAACCTTGGAATTATAAAGTTTCACCCAATTTCAAACCTTCTCGATCTAAAAGACGCATTTGTGGTATTTGGCCGTTTTGGGCAAAACGAACACACAGGCAATAATGAAAATACTACGCTGTAAGCGCGCAGTAAGAGCGTAGCGAGGTCTTTGTTATGTGTGAAAAGGGCTTAACCAATGTGTCAAAATGTTTGCTTTTTAAAGGAAATACTTTTGTAAATGATAACCAGTGGTCATGGGAATCAAATCAGTAATAAATAATACACGGTGCCAGGAATTTTCCTTGGCGTCAACCATGACCAGAAAAAAAGTTTCGCAAATTTTATAGGGATCTGGTTTCCCAATTTGATACTCTGTAACATATGGTTAACCGATTTATTGGACCAGTGCATTTCTTTGCAAAATCAGTTTTCAGACTCTTAATTATAATTATATATTTATTGGTAATTTGAACAAGAGCATCGCTAACGCTGCAATATACGTCCACATTCCGGCTTTGATTGATATGGTACTTTTTAAAATGAAGAGAATGAAATATGAAATGGCTGTAATATGATCAGAGGCAAAGAAGGCTCGGCGTTGGGTTTGTTTTGCCAAATTTACAGACAAAATACTAACAAAAAAATGGGTATGACACTGCCCCAGGAGGTCGGGGCAAGCATCAAAATAAATAGTTGCTGTCTTTACGGTATAAGGAATAAATATGCAAAGTTCCAAGATGACCCATTCAGAATTACAGCCTGTAGACGATAAATACAAAAAATAGGCGTGGCTCTGTCCGTAGGGGTTGGATATAGAAACAATATAAATAGGTACCATCCTGTTATTGAAATGACAACATCAATAGTTGCCGTCCTTTGGGTATAAGGAATAAGTATACCAAGTTCCAAGATAATCCATTCAGAATTGTGGCCTTTGGCCGCTAAAGGCAAAAATTGGACGTGGATCTGCCCCTGGGGGTCGGGGCATTTACCAAAATCAATAGTTGATGCCCTTAGGCTATAAGGAATACATATGCCGAGTACCAAGTTGATCCATTCAGAATTACGGCCTGTAAACGATAAACACAAAAATTGGGCGTAGCTCTGCCCCTGGGGGTCGGGACATACAGTTGTCGTCCTTAGGCTATAAGGAATACATATCCCAAGTTCAAAGACAATCCATTAAGAATCGTGACCTGTAGGCAACCCACAGAGACACAAAGAAAAAATGTGGGTGACTCTGCCCCTGGGGGTTGGGCAATCACCAAAAAACAACACGGGGCATCCTTAGGGTATAAGGAATAGGCATGCAAAATTTCAAAAGGATCTGTTAAGAATTGCGGCCTGTAGGCGACACAAAACACACACACAGACATTGGGCGTGGCTCTGTCCCAGGGGGTCGGGCATGCACCAAAAATAATAGAGGCCAGCCTTAGGGTATAAGGAATAAGTATAAAAAAGTTTTCAAGGTGATCGATTAAGCATTGCAGGCTGTAAGGGACATACAGACACACAAAAAGAAAATGGGCGTGGCTCTGTCCCTGGGGGCTGGGCATTCACCACAAACAATGTTAGAGATGTTCCTTAGGATAGAAGGAGTAAGTATGGGGCCACTGGGGGTCGGGCATGCACCAAAAACAATAGGGATCATCCTTAGGGTATAAGGAGTTAAGAATTGTGGCATGTAGGCGACACACAGACGCACAATAAGAAAATGGGCGTGGCTCTGCCCCTGGGCAAAGCCCTGTATAGGGAAAGTTACGACAACTTATTTACAGGCGCCATTTTGGGTCCCAACTATGACGCCATAAAAAACTATGACGTCATGGCGTTATATAGCTTTACTTAACAAAATGTTTTATTTTTTTTTCTTGGTATAACGTTTTACGGCTACAATTTATCCTAAACAAATGGAGGAAGGCCACCATTAATTTCCCCATTGACTTCATTGTTAATTCTGGCCTCTTTGCCCACCTCCAACTTTTCCCCAAATTTTCATTGGGCTGAATTCTTTTCACTACGGACAGAGAGGAAGAAATGGTCATGTCTTTGCACTAAAATTTGTATGAGGTTGACCACAAAAATTTTGAGATACACAAACTTGAAGAAGCATACTAAAAACATGTAACTAGTTGCCGTACATGCCACCGTAGCCAACCTGATAAACCCATTATCCTTCCGCCTCAAAATCATGAATATTTACCAAAACCTGACAGAAAACGTTAATTCAAACCCTCATCATCCATTCTAGACCAAAAAATCAACAAAAATGGGCATGCAAAAGGGGAGAAAAGAGACAGAGAGAGAATTGCTATAAATAGACGAAATACAATTTGTGGGTACCGAGATGGTGAAATTTAATGGTGGTCTGCCTCCTATATGGTTTTATAAGTTCATATATCATCAAAATTCTTTTCTTTATAGCTTCACGTTTATTTTTGCAACATTATTATAATACAGAATCACAAAAAATAATTACTGCAGAAATGGTGACCCTTTAAAGTTATGCACTGTTTTGTATACCGGTTTGAAGCTCAGGTCCATGTGCCTTTTGTTCTAGAATTGATGATTCTTTCTTAATTGTGTCAAAATGTGAGTTCTGCGAAAAGATTTAAAGAGTTTCAAACAAGTCAAATCAAAAATATTCAAATTATTGAAATATTTTTCAAAAATTGACTATCTTTTACCTTTTTCTACAAAATGGTCCAAAACAAAACAACATTAATTTGGTAATAAAAGGGCAGCGATAATCTCAAAAAATAAGTTGAACAAAGGCTCTCAGAAACCACTCACAAAAACCCGAATGTTACATGGGTGACAACTATTTAAAGCATATCACGTCAGTTTGACATTGTTAAATGGAGTTTGACATTGTTAAATGGAGTTATCTCCCCAAAATCGGGCATGCACCCAAAAGAAAAGGGACCAACCTCAGGGTATAAGGAATATGTATTTTAAGTTTCAAGATGATCGATTTAGAATTGTGGCCTGTAGGCGACACACAAAAAGAAAATTGGCATGGCTCTGCCCCTGGGGGTTGGGCATGTAGGGCCTACTCCAAATGATAAGGATGTTCCAAATGATAGGAATGTTCCTTAGGGTACAAAGAATAAGTATATAAAGTGTGGCTCTGCCCCTGGGGGTTGGGCATGTACCCCAAACGATAGGGATGTTCCTTAGGGTACAAAGAATGTGTATGCAAGATTATAAGTTAAGAAATGTGGCCTGTAGACGACAAACAAACAAATACTAGAAATGGGCGTGGCTCTGCCCCTGGGGGTCGGGCATGCACCAAAAACAATAGGGATCTTCCTTGGGGTATAAGGAATAAGTATACCAAGTTTGAAGAAAATCCAGTAAGAATTGCGCCCTGTAGGCGACACAAAGACACACGAAAAGAAAATGGGAAATGGGCGTGGCTCTGCCCCTGGGGGTTGGGCATGTACCCCAAACGATAGGGATGTTCCTTAGGGTACAAAGAATGTGTATGCAAGATTATAAGTTAAGAAATGTGGCCTGTAGACGACAAACAAACAAATACTAGAAATGGGCGTGGCTCTGCCCCTGGGGGTCGGGCATGCACCAAAAACAATAGGGATCTTCCTTGGGGTATAAGGAATAAGTATACCAAGTTTGAAGAAAATCCAGTAAGAATTGCGCCCTGTAGGCGACACAAAGACACACGAAAAGAAAATGGGCGTGGCTCTGCCCCTGGGGGTTGGGCATGCACCCCAAACGATAGGGATGTTCCTTAGGGTACAAAGAATGTGTATGCAAAGTTTCAAGATTATTAGTTAAGAAATGTGGCCTGTAGACGACAAACAAACAAATACTAGAAATGGGCGTGGCTCTGCCCCGGGGGGTCGGGCATGCACCAAAAACAATAGGGATCTTCCTTGGGGTATAAGGAATAAGTATACCAAGTTTGAAGAAAATCCATGAAGAATTGCGCCCTGTAGGCGAACCACACACACACACACACACACACACACACACACACACATACATACATACATACACACACACACACACACAGACAGGGGCGACGGCATAATACGTTCACATTATGAATGTGGACGTATAAAAACCAAATCTATTTTACTCGCAATCAACAAACACAGAAAAAAGAAAGTGTGCAAATATTATACCTGATATAATGCCACCGACCTAATACATATCACATTTTTAATTTCTCAATCTGATTAAAATTATTTGTGTTTCAGTTCGTTTTCTTTCGTTAAATATTCCGGATTGTATTAACGGAAATATTTACTTCGCATCTGAATCATTTTTTGTGTTTATCTACGCATCGTTACTTTATTGTCTACCGTAAACCACCAATGAACGAACATGTAGTAAGTCAGGCTCACGTCTGTAATTATAACGTTCTGAATATTATGCTTATCTCAAGCAATGTACACAAGCAGAACTATATAGACGAAAAAAAATAAAGATAATAATATTAAATAAGGTTGACAGTTTTTGGGTCTAATGTTGTTTTTATTTATAGCTGGTTAAATGTGGGGCATTTATTAACAATATATACCATCCATAAGAAATATGGCAGTCATCAAAAACACAATAACTAAGAAAAACCAAAAGCAAATTCTATCCAATCTTAGACTAATGTGGCTCCCCGTCACCCTGTCAGCTGTGGTCTCTAATTTACCATCGTTTTCTTTGACTGGATAAACACAGTTGTCCGAATGAATGGGGAGGCAAAGAATTTTAAGGAACCAGCGTGGTAACGGACATTTGTTAGTATCCCTATGGTATATCCTTAACGTACAGCAGGTAATCAAAACATACAAGGAACTGAGAACCAGCTGGGCTGAAATATAAATGGAGAGGCCGGAAATGGTGTCGGATGTCTGGGGCATAAGACCGGATATAAAGCTGAGGAAAACAGCTTGCGAAAGAAGAACCGTGACAGAAAAAGACAGTTTTTCACCAGATTCAGTTGGTAGAAGGAACACGAATACATTGAGGAATACCAGAAGAATAACTGGTAATAACACTGTCAACACCAGGCTAAGAGATTTCCTTTTTAATACAACAGTAACTCTAATCATTTCATACTCATTCTGAGAGTCCTTCACAGATCGTCTCTCTGAAACGAAGAAATTAGTAAACTTTAACAAATAACAATCGAATGTATACAACAAATGCATGACGATTTTTAAGCCACCAGTGCTAATAGAGAGTTGTTGTTGTTAGTTAGTTGTATTTTACGCCCGCTTCCACCGAGGTGATAGAGAGGGTGGGGATGGGTATTTATAGGCAACGAAGAATTGGCTTCACATCGAATTAAAAAAAGCCAGTTAAAATCCATTAAACACTGTAACCACTGTCGTGCTGGGTCTAAACCGGGCACAAATTGTGACCTCTTAAACAGGTTTAATCAAGCTGTAAGCCTGATTCGAACCCATCCGAGATATTTGGGATATAATTGGGTAACAATTGTGACCTCAAAGGGTTCAATAATACCATGTGGACCTATAAAATGAAATCAAATGGTTGACGCGATCCATGGAATGAAACCGTGTTTTAAGACACCAGGGCTACACATTTAATTACATCATTAGCCTACTCCGTTTTTCAATATTTATTACGTTGTATTTCTCGACTTGGAATGTGAATACTTCTTTGTTCAAAGCTGCTATATTTTTTTGCCGGTGCTTGCTTTATTCCGTGGTGACATGGTCAATGCGAATTCTGTTAGTGAATCTTGACAAGACACAACGAAAGGACATCCGGACTATTAGTTAACGTCGAGGGTGTTGAAATAGCACACCCTAATTCGTAGTCGAGATGAAGGAGATTATTGGCGGTATTATCTTCAAATATTATATTTACATACCTATTACTGTCCATTCCGAGTTGGGGTAGGCAACATAACCATTTGGCAATTCAAATTCTAGTTCACGGTATTTCAATGATGTCTCCTCTTTAGTCCCGGCCCAGTTGAAAAATTCCATAAAGCATGTTTGTGTATCGAATGGGAACTTGGATACATCAATCTTACACAGGAAGTGAACCTTTTGGCCTGGGGTCCACAAGGTTTGGCCGTTATGGCACGACTTCAAGAGAACGAAATCTATACCAACGGGCGTTAATTCATTATATCCATTACTTATGGCCAAATCCGGTTTCCATATATTTTCCTCTGGTGGGTAAATCAAAGTGAGGTTGCCATAATCATTGGGATCCCACACCAGTAATTCATTCTTCCAGCGTACCTGATGATATAAAGAAACATATATTCGGATGGTCAAATAACCTCCTCCTACTAAACATTTGCTTGGCGTGGATAACAGCATTACTTATTAGACCCTAACCCGAAGATCAGTTTAAGATTAACAAGAATGCTCAGTCGCCAACATTTGGTAATCAACAAACAAATACTATCTGCAGTTATGTGTATGGCTAATACTATATCAAACACCCCAATTACGCCACATTGTTATACTGGTTATAAGTAGAGTTCAATTACAGTAACAAACTACTACGATGTTTATTTTCATAATCACACAGTCAACGTAACTAAAGTAATGAAAATCGGTCTAGATGTATGACTGATGCTAGTTCGAAACAAACATAAACATCTATCTTAGATAGACAGAGTCTATTTCAATATCGCTTCCCCACTTCTTTCGGGGCGGGGTGATAATATAATAATCATGGTAGCTTCTGTAGTAAATAAATATACATATTAAAGATAATCGTATAAATAAAGGTATTCCTTCATTTGGAGACCCAACTTTAGTATTTATAGAAAAGGTTAGTACCTTTTCTAATAGTAAGCGCAGGAGAACCACACCACACAAGAACAAAACAAATAAGATACTCCAGACAAGCAATGAATAACAACAGTATATTATATCACATCAAGTTGATGGATTCGGGGTAAACGTTCAATATGCTGCACAGTCCCATGTCCGTACTAATGCAGGCTTCATTGAAAATGAAAAAAGTTCAAAATAAAAGAAAGAAAAACTAAGCAATGAAAACAAAAAGACGCGGAAATGGCGCGACCGATCTGCCAGTTGATGGCATAAGTTAGTACGTCAAAAGAGAATAACAGTAATAAGGGCTACAATCCGGATAGAATTTCGGATGGTTAAAAGTATTCGAGAATAAAAATAGTAACTGCAATTTCTGAAACTAAATATTTAAAATAATTACTAGTTTAAAACTCACACTATTCTCTTCTAATATGATTTTGTCTTATTAAAATCAGGTAGGCTATCTTACTCTCGATAAATAGAAGATCACATTAATTATTTCCTGAATTGGAAGGTATTGTATTAGGAACATGCATTGTGAGCGGAGGGGGGGGGGGGTAATCAAAAAATATGTATACTTTTCCACAATTTCATTCAATTCCATCTAAACATGGCTTGTACCTAACAAAAACCATACACGTTTTATTATTAGTGTACAGTAACACCCAATAACTATTTTTCAGTGTAAACAAAAACATTTATCTAAATTTAAATTCTACGTTTTTGAAACATTTTTACGTTAGCTTACCTTCATCCAAATTGTAGCTTCAACTGATTGCTGTACTTCGTTTACATCCAATATAGCTACCATGAAGAGAGTCATTTCTACATCAACTATCTCTGATTGATTCTTCAGTGGTCTGATTTTACTGTTACCTTTCTTTACTTTCTCTTGAAATAATCTTTCAACATCTTCATCTGTGGCTCCTTCTGACGAGTGCATGTGCATTGACAAAATTAAGGCCACACATGCCACCAAAATAAAATTGGTTAATTTCATTATACTTAAGATTCGGGGTTTTGGTATTCAAACGTCTTTTCCTAATTACCGTCGAAAGTGTTTATGCATGGGTCGCAATAATGAATTAAACGGAGAAGTCCGGAGTTCCCCCTACTACAGCAATGTATCAATGACTAAATCATATTTGGTTTCGTAACAAAACCTCCTAGTATTATCAGTGTTTAAGAATCAATTATATCGACCGATATTTACTTTATCAATTATTCTCTGGGGAGTGGTTTCTGAATACCAAGCAAATAAGCAAACGGGATTTAGTTACTAGTATAGTATCGAAATGGATTTTTTTTTCTGAAATTCTTTCACCCAATGGGGGTTGCGGGACACTTCAACAATGGTTTCCCCTAGATCTGTAGCTTTGCTCTCGAAACATCTATATATTTATTTTATTATACCTATTAATAAACGACATGGTCAGATTAATTGCTGTTTATTTTGGATTATAAAATGAAAGCTAATATTTATCTATAGTTGATACAAAGACGAAAATATGATGAGTCATTGCCTTGCGGGCGGATGATATTTGAGTATATTTCTAAACAATGCTCACAATTATCTTAGCTTAGGACCAACTCAAATATTAAAAGAAACCATTCTATTTGTCAATCTCTCTGATTATTGGCAGTTGTTTTAATTTCTCTATAAATTAATCAATATAAAACATTAGACAAAGAATTACTATTGTAAAGACTTATATTAAATGAGATTGGTGTAACTTGAAGCTGAATGGATATAGTCATCAAAACGACTCCCATAGGAAAACAATATGAATGAGTATTATGTGCTTAAATCAATGACATGTTAATGGCCATGATATTTAAAACTAAAATGATACAGAGACATAGTCTATAACATTCACAATAGTTATGGTATCATTAATCAGCATATTAATTTAGAAATTCTAACAATTTAATCTCTAGTACTGGAAATAGTTTGAATAATGGCCAATTAGATTTTCCATATGGAGGTTTGTAAGTTTCAATAAGTTTTGAAATGGCTATAATAAAATAGTTATTTAAATAATAACAATAGTTATTTAAAGAATAACAATAGTTAATTTAAAAATAACAACATACAGTTAATGAAAAAATAATAATAATGCTAATTTAACAGCTTTTACAAAACAGATCTAGGCATTTCAACTACGTTCGATTGATAAGGCGTTTGGGTAGTGCTTCTAAATGGAGTTGCTCAGTCCCATATGGATACGAGTAACCTGTAGTAAACACTCTAGACCATCGGATGGCCGTAATATCCAGTGGAAGGGAATGACGGCACCATTTAATAATTTGATGCTAAAATGGTTTGCCGATAATGTGTTTATTACCGTATAGCAATTGTATTTGGCAACTGATGCAATTTAATTGGGGTTTGTCGTGTCATAAAATATATTAACCGCTGTTTCCATATTTGGCCCATTCTTTGCGTCATTGGACATATTTAACCAATCAAATCATGAATAAATCGCTCATCGCAGATTATCAGGGATTTAAAAGACAAACAATCGTTCCGGCTAGCCTTACTAGATGAAATAACCACAAAACCGCAGTAAGACCAGATACTCTCTTTTCTCTAGCTTTCTTTTTCAGGTGCTGGATTCTTCCTTCAGAGAACCAACAATAAAAGGAATGAATAACAGAAATAAAGATGTAACAACGCCACCATACCGGACAACAAACCCAAATGGAAGGAAGAATGGACCAGGACTCAGACTCACCAACAAAGCCCCAAGGAAGAGTTGCACCGCCCTGCCATTCTACCGGACAGAACGACCAGACCAACCCAAACGACCCAAAAAATATATATATATGTACATAACATGTTTATGTCTGTGAAAATGTCCGTCATTGTCCATGTCTGTTCCGTCAATTCGTATGTTTGTGAACGTCTACTGGCACTTTTTCGTTCTTTGCACATGTCATCCTACTGTTGTCTATTGTCCTATGTACATATATATATGGAAAAACCTAATTATCCTATTTTTCTCACTAATCACATTGTAAATTAATGCACCTTGTATACATAACATGTCATTGTCTGCGATATCACCTCGGTGGAAGCGGACGTAAAATACAACTAACTACTACTACTCCGGCTAGCCCCATTCTTTCGTTTCTAACACCCGGAGCTTCTCCTGTGAATGAATTTCACATTGGCCGCTTCCTTGCAAAAATATTGTGTCTTATCCCAAAAAGCTGGATCAAGCCTAATTTAGTGAATTCCTCTGGCAAGTTTCGTAGGAAACACTTGTCTACGATATCACCCTTGGTGGAAGTGGGCGTACAACTCCAGGAACGAAAGAACGATACGGCTAGACAGATCCATCCAATTCGAAGGACATGGTGTAACTTTTGCAGCAGTTATGCCTGTGCTTATATTTATAATATCATAGGTGTTGTAAACTTTCAATTTTGCTTAATATAAAAACATTTTATAAAGAACATCGTGTTCCTGATATTTGTGAACAACCAATGTTTTCAGGGTAAAGATAAAAGTTAAGGCCCACTGCCGATTTCGTCATAGGTCGCGAGATTAAATAGGGTTACGGTACGAGATTGTTGACGAGATTGTTGGTAAGGGTAAGGGCACGTGATTGATGACTAAAATGTGGGTTAGTGTAAGGGCTACTGAACAAATCTGCAGTGGGCCTTAACTCTGCAGTGGGCCTTAACTTTTAGTCCGAACGCTGTATACACACCACGAGTAGTGGCCAAAACAAAGAATGTTAGGCAGGGACACTTTTGGGCATCAGATTTGTTAAGTCTGTGGTTTAGCTTCGGCGTTATCAGATATTAAATGTGGTGTCGATTGACAAAATACTACAATTCGAATTTTAATTCAACTATAAAAATTTAATTAAGGCAATCCTAACTAGAAAATATACGAATAACGGGTTTCTTGCCAATAAAATAATGATTCCACACTGCATATATATATTGTGTAACACTTTTTGTAGAATTTTTGCTCTTGAAATTAATGATGGCATTATATTGTATCAATTAACATCTTTGGCAAGTTATTAGATTCACATATATGTAGTATTTGTACTTAAATCAAGTTAGCGAATGAGTGACAGATGGTTACATAAAAAAGAGTTATAATTTGGTAATTGAAGGTCCAAAACCCAAAGCTACAAAACTATCATATTCGCTAGACAGGGAAATATTTTTAAGATAGTTAATACGAATAAAGGTATGGTATATTTAGCATACATATGAACATGGGACAACAAAGTGGGGGTGTCACTAACTGTGTTGATCGAATGGCCAGTATTTACTAGAACATTAACAAGATAAAAGGTTCAGTACACCCTGCAATTAAACGGTGACAGAGGATAACCCACGCTTCGATATTTGACTAGCGACAAATACAAGCTCAGAATGTATTCTCCCTCAAGCAAGCCAAGGGACTTAAAATAATTCATGCGGCATTGGGTAATTTTATTGCGATTTTATTGATAGATAAATTAGTTTGGATATGTTTTTATTCCAAATATATCATTACTACACACAGTTTGTAGACAGAAAGGCATCATAAAAAACAAATAATTATAGAAATACACTTAAATAGCTGCTACAGGAAATAATTTAGATGTCGGTGATAGCCCAAATACCTCTAATCAATATTGTTCGCACAAGGAAATAAAGACATTAATCAATGCCTACTATTTCAACAATAGCGGATACCACTTCTCATTTGAGATCACAAAATCTCAATATCAATTGCAGTGGGAACTGGGAAAATGAAAGAATTGCTAAAAGTAGACGGACTAAAATCGAGGTTATCATGAAATCGGGCAAAATATTACTAGTTGTAGCCCAGAGACAAAAGGGTCCAGAACCTGTTTGGAAGTTGGACCGACAGATTTCAGTGTGATCTACCAGTATGTGTTATTGTCATCTTATTAGAATATCCGAGATGATAAACCGTCACAAAGAAATATTGCCGTGATTATAAAGACAAAACACAGGAAAACTCGGAAGCAAATTCGGTCTAATATTCGACAGACATCACTTCCGGTAACACTTGCAGTCATGGTCACCAGCTTTGTGTTGTTTTCCTTCTGTGGATAATCATTGTGTTCGGAATTAACGTTAGCTAAGCAGAGGATTTTGGTAAGCCAACGAGGGATGGGACGGTTGCTTGAATCCCCGTGATGTATACTTAGATTAAAGCAAGTCAAGAGGACGTAGATGGCGCTGAGAATCAATTGAGCAGATATGTAGATAGAAAGGCTTGAAGTAGAATCAGATGTCTGTGGCATTAGACCTGATATAAAGCTGAGGAAAACAGCTTGTGCGAGAAGAACTGTGACCGAAAAGGAAAGTTTTTCACCAGATTCAGTTGGTAGAAGGAACACGAATACGTTGAGGAATGCGAGTAGGATGACTGGTAACACTACTGTCAATACCAGGCTAAGAGATTTTCTTTGTAAGACCAATATAACTCTCACTTTTTCATGGGAGGTTTTGTGTTGCTTTTCAGCTCGTTTCTCTTTAAAGAAAAAAAATAATAAAAGATAATTACAAGGTTAGTAAAGATATCCGATACGTTATTTAATGGTACTATAATGCGCTTTCGGCATAGTGATAATGAAAACCATCCTTATGGATGTAAAAATAGTACGTGTCATTGACTTTTAAATATTTATTTTAAATATATGTTATTGTCTAAATGTAATTGTAAGCATAATAAAAATAGAGATGGAATCTATGACTTACCAATTATTGTCCACTCAGAATTTTCATATATAGCGTTCACGCTTTTCATATACTTGGATTTTCGATAATTCAGAGAAGTTTCTTCCGTTTTACCTGCCCAGTTAAAGAACTCCATATAACATGTCTGTGTGTCAAATGGGAACTTACTTACATCAATTTTACACAAAAAAGAGACTTTTTGACCCGGATTCCATTCAGTCTCTCCGTCATGATGCGACTTTAATAGGACAAAATCCAAACCAACAGGAGTCAATTCATCATAACCATTACTGATAGCTAGATCGGGTTTCCACATATTTGTTTCTGGTGGGTAAACACTGGTGAGGTTACCATAATCATTGGGGTTCCAAACCAGTAACTCGTTCTCCCAGAATACCTGAAGATGAAACCACAAGAACTGCATGAATGAAGATGCATCCCCACGAAAGTATTTATAAGGTGACCATTTCCAATAATAAAAAGTATGGAAAATAAATATAATTAATAAGTTTAACATATCTTTTTAGATAATGAAAATCCCCTTATTGTAACTTCTTTTTGCCAGCATTGTTACGACTCTATAACAACAACTAAATATAGTATAGACTAGTCCAATTTCCGCCGAACTGAACCACGGTGGCTAAGTAAGTAAGACGCTGACTCCCTAGTCTGGGAGTCGCGGGATTTTCCGGCGTGGTTTCCCTCTTGTCAGTGGTGCAGGACGGAGGGCCTGACAAGGACAGCTGTCTAGTTGTTCGGATGGGACACATTGGCGTGCACGTAACATACCTCTTGGCACATGGAATTCGATGTAACAATAAGCCGGGCAAAATTTCTCTCATAGCACACTGCATGGCGTATGCCCGTCTTCATTAGCTCAGCTGGGGGCATAACAGTAGGACGTTAAACCTTATTTCATTTTTGTTACAAAAAATGGGGAACACGTTTCTTAATGATTTTGGCCTTCTAATTAGCTCTTTGTTAGCGAATTGAACTGTGTAACACTATATTGTTCGATACTTTTGATGGACATGCATTAAAATTTTTCTTGAAAAATAACATTAGGATAAAACAGCTAAGAAGTGGTTTTCAGACGATATCGAGTAAATCAATTGTTCAAAGGCATAAGGCAGATATGTTATAGCGAATTGAATTGTATAACACTATATTGTTCGATATTCTTGATGGACATGCATTAAGATTTTTCTTGAAATAGAACATTAGGATAAAACAGCTATTAAATGGTTTTCAGATGATATCGAGTGAATCAAATGTTCAAAGGCATAAGGCAGTATGTTATGGAGGAAAAATCAAATTAGAGATCCAACATAAGTTATACCAATACGCTCATTACGATCCTTACAACCTAATCTCTACAGCTAAACGTCAACGTCAAATTACTTGAAAAGAATTTGAACCGAACTCTAAAAACCGAAGTCATTTGTAAAAACTGTACAAACTCGCTCATAGATGCATTGGCGTAACACGACTGTGCCCTCAAATATGTCTGTGAACAATATCAAAACGTTTTCTCCGACTAAAATAAGATTTGAGTTTTAGATAACCCGCCACTTTCTGAGCCTGAGGAATAATCCAATCTTAAGTGGATAGTAGTTTTCAAATCTTTTCATTAATTTCAAAAACCAAGCCTGGGGAGATACTTAACTTGATCCTGCAATCATATCTTAGTCAGTAAAAGATTGTGTTACTCACCACATAAAAGAGAGAGAGAGAAATGGGGTTTAACGTCCAATATACGAGCATTTGCTCGTATAGTGTTTCAAAGAATTCTAACCGTGATGCCAAAACATTGAAGAATTACGAACCAGCCACTATTTTCCTTTCATCTCTAACATTTTTGGAAAAGTGGCTGCTTGTCAATAACTGGAATGCATTGGACTGAATACAATCTTAGGGAAAAGTTTCAAAGTGCATATAAATCTGGGCACAGTTATTATTATCGCGAAGTTATTATTGAAAATAAGCAGGTTTCCCTGTTTCAATAGGATTGGCATTTTAAAAGAAGATTTCCGTACTAAGATAAATAACCCAGGAAGTTTCATGATAATAGAAACTTGTGGAAAGCAATAGGGATGTCCCGTCAAATATAATTTGCAGAACGATCAGATAATAATTATGGCGCTAACAACATTTCGTGACAAAGGAAAATAAATCTGGAAACCCTTTCACAATCAATAGACTTTCTTTTCATTTCAATGTGATATCAATTTCAAAAAGATATATGGATCATTGTAGAATCCATTGTGGTAACAAGAAATGTGGACAACAGTCCGACCGAAGGACAGCGTGACGGCAATAAACGACCACATTAATCAGTGAGTGTATAAAAATAGTGACCATCACCATTTCACAGAGGGACATTGGTTAATGACCAAACACTGCAATCAGATATAGTTTATATTTTCAGGGTCAGTAAGTAAATCACGCGCTTTTTGGATATTTACGTGCGGTAATCATAATTATTGGCGTTAACACAATCTATTGAGTAAATTCCAGGCGTTCGGAAGAAGAAATCAAATTGGGTTTAACGTCCTATATTTCTGCAACGTTCCGGCTAATGAAAAGGGACATACGCCATGCAGTGTGCTGAGTCTAATTTTGGCCGGACAGCGGTTCTACTCTTTATTTCGAATTCCGGGTCCTGTTTCGCTCACGTTAATGTGTATACGGGACCTTCGGAACGACATTCCTTGTCATGCACCACTAACAATGGAAACCACGCCGGCGATCCCGCGATGCGGAAAGAAACCACTGCGAGATATGTGTTTATAGTATTGAGTAGCGAACATTTATATGTCATTTCAATAGTATTCAAGCATTGATATTTCTAAAGTTTAAAAAAAAAATAATAATGCGCTCTGAAAGCGTGCACCAAGAAAACGACACTAAACTTATTTAACATAACAAACGTTACCTCTATCCATATAGTGGCTTCCACAGACTGCTGCACTTCGTTCACATCTAATAAGGAGATAATATGAAGTGTCATTTCTACATCGACAATGTCTGTTTGATTCATCACTGGTCTGATTTTACTGTTACCCTTCTTTACTTTCTCTCGAAATAATCTTTGAACATCTTCCGCTGTTGCTGCTTCTGACGAGTGCATGCCGATAGACAGTAGCATCAGCACCATGGCCAACACCAACAAGAAACTAGAAACTTCTTTTAAACTTTGTGTCATGTCTTATCTTGTCTTGAATACCTTTAGCTCAGCAGGTGAATATAGCGTGCACTACAGGTATCGCCCTGTTTATATGGGGGATTGTTTACATTGATAACTGTTTTACTCGTTGGTCAATACTATTGACATTCATTCATTCATTAACATTAAACCACCATTAAAGTATACATTTCAAAAGTGGTCTTCCATTTATGAAAACTCCAAAATAATAACTGGTGTTTCACATATTTTTAAACCAGTATAATTGACATCAATAACATCATGGTTACAAGTTATAAATTACTTAATTCCCTTCATTTTATTTTTTACAATTCAACATTGGTACCTCACACACACATCCCCAATATCTACTTCTGGATATTGTGATAATGCAGACTGTCTTTTGAAATTTTCAAAATGCAGACCTTACATGAACATGCATCTAAAACTTAACCCGGATAATCAAGTCCTAGAAAACTCAAGTTTTAATTTTAGAAAATAAATATCTTGGCACAGACGGAATCAAGAAGACACATATCAAAAACCGTCGAACCCTTGAATGACAAAAACAGGGCCTTATCAACCCACTTCTTTAATTGCGACTGTTGACAATACAAAAAGAGTCTGACATTTCGGACTAAATCAAGTAGGCCATCACATACACCAAATAATAATTTTGCCCCTCTATTTGCTCGACGAAACAACTAATCAACTCCATATTATGTCCTCTGCCAATGTATATTAAACAGCAAAAAAAAAAAAAAAAACCAACGTCAGTACGATTTCAAAATCAGAGAGGCACTTTAATCAAATTATTCTAGACAACGACTTACTAAATGGATCAAAGCAATTTTTTGTGAACAGTATGTTGACGCATTTGTGATTAATTCATCACAATTCCAAGACATTATGACTGTACACAGTCTAACATCAGTATCTGGTGTGTCCACCGCGAGTGTCAATAACAGCAGTGCAGCGTCTGTACATGGAGTGGACCAGACGATTGATGAACGCCATTGGCACCCGGAACCACACTCTCAGAAAAGCCTGGGGCAATCCATCGGCTTTGTTTGGTCTCGGTGACGTTATTAAGTCTCCTCTGAATTCCATCCCAAAGATGTTCAATCGGGGTTAAGTTCGGACTAAGGGCTGGTCAGTGCATAACGTTGACACCGTTCTGCTGTAGAAAGTCCTGAGTAACTCTGGCGGTGTGGGAACGGGCGTTGTCATGCTGGGAAACGTGATTTCGATGACGTGTCAAAATTTGTGTGACGTTGGGTCTGAGAGCTTGATCGATGTAGCGCTCTGCTGTGATGCCGCCTCCTCTCCCTTGACTGTATCGGTACTGATGGGTCTTCCGTGTGTTCCCACTGCCTGACGTGCTGTCTCAGATGCCCGTGTGGATGGATTCTGCACGTGCTGTCGCACAACATGGCGGTCTTGTCGCCTTGTGGTAAACCTTGATCTACCAGTTCGGGGGCGATCATCCGTGGTGTTGGTGGCCCGAAAGCGTTGCTGAAGCCTGTAGATGGTCCAAACATTGACCTGGAAGTGATTGGCAACGGCTTGGGCAGTGTGGCCAGCGTCGAGTCTTTCATGCGCCTGGTTACTCTGAGCTGTCGTGAGTTATGGCATGCTGCTGACGTTGTAGTGTGAATGATTCAACCAGGTATGGGTTGCATTTTTTAGGGCTGGTCCCGGTGAACAGCACGTGCAGCATGAGTTACATATAAATCATGGAGAACACATTACATTCTGTGTTTGGGAAGGAGCCTTATTGCTCAGGTAAAGTTGGAGATGTGGTCACAAATATACAATAAAAACATTTGGCAAGTTTTATGCAGTGCGTCTATTCAGAGTAACATACCAACCTGGCGTTTCTTTTGCTGCTTAGTATATTTACCCTCCGTGACTTCAAACATTGACAGAATAGCACACACACACACAGACGCTATGTCCCTATGCTTCCGGTCAAATTACTTGATATTATTCGAATAAACATTTAACCAGCATCGACTAGAAGAATGTAAATACAAAAAATAAGTAATGTTTATAAAACAATTCATTGAAATACGGTTGCTTAATTGACCATGGCATATTGTGGGTGCGGGGCGTTTTCCCCGGGCGCAAAATAAAAAAAATATATCACACGTGTTGGCAAAATGAGTCGGAATGCACAGTCTAATAATGCGCTACAGACAAAATAAGTGAAAATATTGATTTTGATCGCAATTGGGATTTTGACCAAAAAAATGAGTAAAAAAATATACTATCTATCGACCCAAAAGATTAAAATAGTAATAAAACATCTTTAATCACCTTTATTTGGGTGTTTTGTAAGAGTATTGTATTCTAAAATCTTTCTTTTTTCTTAAAATTAGTTATTTTTGACCACGCAGCGGGCCAATCCCCTTACCTGATTCTTGGCATCGTTGTAAATATGACCAAAATATTACCGATAATGCCAATTTTAACGAATACAAACGAGTTTTGAAACCCATGTAATACGTAAAATTTTTCGATCCAGGCACCCCACGTGGTGCATTGTGGTATCATGGCTGGGTTCATCATTCTATCTAGTATCTAGGGTTCAGATTCTGATACAATTAAGGTACCTGAAAATAACAGCAGACCGTAGACGCAAAACCTTATTTTAATTGATTCGTGTGACGAGGTTAACAGAACACACGTATAGCTGTGGTGGGTTCAAGATAATCAAGAAACTAAACTTGATTACCCAATCAACAATCTTAATCTCCTGAGCTAATAAGTGGTGAGATTAACAGAATTTATTCCGATATAACCCTTTTTTAAAACCCCTAAAAATATTAACAAAGCATTATGGTTATGTGGCTGGCAGAGCGGGCGATAAATATTTGGCTTAGGTGATAATGTTTTTGGGTACCTACATGCGATTATCATGGCAGAAAAATATTAACAAAATATTACTGACAGGCTAACTAGACATAATTTTATGGACCACAGTTACTTTTCACTTGACACATGTTTCCAGGATGATTCTCTCTGTGTTTTATTTTAGCAATGTAAACCATATTGGGATATGTACAGGTTTTGTACAGATAGAATCTTAACTAATCCAAATAACTGTTGTAAATAAATAGGAGTTAGGGCCTACTATCTAAATTTTTTGGGGTTTAAGTATATTCAGACCCCCCACCCCGCCCCCAGAAAAACAATAAGGGGGGGTCGGACCCCCCCTCCCGCCCGGCATGTGTGACGCCCATGGGTGTGGTTGCTATATTATTTTGTTTTAGAACATATCGACAATTTTAAATCCATACCAGCCGGACATTAGTTTGAAGGTATTCAGGGGGAGAATGTGAAAATAACAATAACTCAATTTTCAAAATTTCCTCGTTGCGACTCAGTTTGCCAGCATGGGTCACTCCAATGTTCTAACACTGTAAACCGTTTTTGAACATGTTGGGACAAATACACGTTGAATCGTAACATTTGTTGGGATTTTGTTTTGTTTTTGGTGAAGCGGCCACGGTAGGAACACGTTACCAGCTTCCCCGCACTGGCGAAAATGTGAAGGGTCCACGTGGGATCAACTTTCGGGCAATCTAACTTTTCGGGCAAACAGGTAAAGTGATGTTATTATTTCATCTAATTAGCAACATAAAGTGTCCAAAATCTAATACAACACTAATTTTTCTTTTCTTTTAATTGGAGGGTTGGATGGACGAATGGTTAGCGTCTGCGCGCTGTATCATAAGGTCTGTCATTGAGTCAACTGGCGTGCTTTCGATTCCCCGGTTGTACGTAACAAGGAGTTGGGTCACCTGTCCAACCTCGTGGGTTTTCCCCGGGTCCCCCGGTTTCCTCCCCACTGCTAAAGACCCCTACGCGCAAGCGAATTATTGAATTTTTTTCTCGGCGAGCGCGAGGCCCCCATACCTCGCGAGTCCGGGACGATTGCTTGGTTGTTTGGGATTCAGGTCAGCCACCTAAGGTAGACTATATTGGACCACATTGAAGTTGCTGTATTCACCGACTGGAATAGCAGGAAAACGCGTTTGCAGCAGCAGTTAAATTTTCTAAATTTCACGGGCGACAAATTTTCCATTTTATAGGGGGCGGAGGGGGGGGGGTGCTAGATGGTAAACTCCGTCTGTCACCCGAAATGTTTTCGGGTTCTGCCCCCCACCCCTTGACATACATCGAGCCCGTACGCCTATGACGCTCGATCTTTTACTTACCAGACTAGAATAGCACACAAAGAGACACCATTGTCCCACAAATTATTTGATTCGAATAAACATTTAACCATTATCTCTAGATGCTATTAGAAGGGAGCATATAAAGTATTGTTTATAAAGCAATTCACTGAAATATGATTGTATAATGGCCAGATGACGACAATTACTTTAATACCAAGCGACGTATTGACTAGAATAATCTAGACTTTATAACGGAAACGATGCAATCATAAAGAGATAATGGGATAGTGTGTATCGGTACACAACACTAATACCAACTTAATTAATGGGGAAAAGCGACATTCCGCAAATTAACTTGAAAGTGACCTAAATTATGAAGACGATCAAAATTGACAATGGTAAAGCCAAACATTTGGGAATACAAACTATATGATGATAGTCACTAATCAAATGTTAAAACTAACACCCAGTCTATTACAAAGGTAACGGTTCCCAGAAAACCTCAGTGATGGCCCATGGGAAATCTAATACATATTATAATTTAAATATACCTTCCCACGTACAAACGGTGTGATTAGATGATATAATTGATTCTAGTTTCTGTTGGGTTACAGACAATTAGAAAACGTATATATTTTTCCCAGGTATGAGATCAGTGGCAGGGCTGGCCGCCGGTGGAAGAAGGGACAAAGCTGGGGCAAGTATACTTTGAACGAACTTGTCTCCATGGGAATCGATCCTCTGAATTTGGTGGGGCAAGAATATGGCACAGCCAGCGTCATAGGCGTTGGAATGTAGGTGCCCAGCACAAAGTTAGGAAGACGGCACTATACCACTTTATGTGCATTGTTTCAACCACAGGTTGAATCTGTCTATAGTAGACACAGTAAAGGCGGTTGTCCCCGTTGCTGACGTTTTCAGCAGTCTGAAGATGATCTACAACTTCGCCAGCGGATCCGCCGTATACACACGATGTGGATCAGATTCCAAGAGAAGCGGGGAGAAACATCCATCGAATTCAAAGCGTTATGTAACATTCGTTTGGCTGCTCACGTTGGAGCTGTTGTTGCCGTAAAGAAACGTCCCGCCACCTTTGTTCTTTTCCCGCGGGACGTAATTGCTAATGGCACTAATAGCGACAGAGCCACGACAGCTAGAGGATTGTTGGCATTGATGAACCAAACATTCGTGTACGTCAAAGCAGATCAATTATGAATCTCCACCAATATCAGAATTAGTTAAAAGTTCCTTTCTTTTTGTGCTTTGCTTATATTATTTTATCAGTTTGTTGATTAGTCCATGATATATTTCGCATTTTGTAAATGTAATTATCAGTAATTAAAGCAACCATGTTATCAATATTATAAAATGAATTGTTCTTGGTAAAGTTTCTTTGTGTCATTTTGTTTTGTTTTTTTTTATAAAAAGAAAGATATGATTGTTTCACATTAAAATCTGGTTATTTTTACGATAAGCAGCGTTTAGAAAAGACCATGTTAAACCCTATACGATTAATAACTTTGTCTTTGAATACGAAAACTACAACGTTAAACCCCATTTCATTTCATTTCCTTTGAATACGTTTACATATTCGAGTGAAAGCTGTTACCATGAAGAATAGTTGATATTATAAAATCGAACTATAAGAAACTCAATACCGTAAACGTCCGCAAAAATTAGCGAGTCTGATGTGCTGTAACTTCCATTTGAAAAAGGGGAAAGAAATAGAAAGTGAAAGACAATAAAAACCTCATAACTTAAATTCTATCCAAATAAGTCTACCCGTGCTTTATATATTGCATTTAACAAGATTAGATATCAATATATCATGTAGGTATTCATAGTTTCGTAAAGCTTCTTTTCATAGTAATTTTTTTCATATATCCAGATGAGTCTTCTCTTTCTTCAGAAGTCTTGAGTATTGGGCTATTAAGACCAAATTTAACATCATTTTCCCATTTAGAACAGAGCCACGGTGGCTAAGTAAGTAAGACATTGGCTGGCTGGCCTGGAGGTCGCGGGTTCGGGATTTTCCGGCGTGGCCTTGTCAGTGGTGCAGGACGTAGGGTCTGCCAAGGACAGCTTTCTAGTCCAGTGAACACATTGGCGTGCACTTAAAAGATCCCTTGACAGTTGGAATTCGATATAAGAGTAGTCCGTAGCGCCGCTGTCTGGGCGATATATCCTCATAGCACACTCTATGGCGTATGCCCGTCTTCATTAGCCCAGTCAGAGCAGCACAGTAGCACGTTAAACGCCTTTTCATTTCCCATTTAGAAAAATATGTTAAATTTTAGAACTTTACATTTTGAGATATAGATTTTCCTTTTCGTCCACGTTTACTCAGTTGAATCCGTTCTTAAAAATTATATCATTTCTTGTCTGGGTTTTGTTAGTTGTTGTCTTAAGACATCATGTTGGCTATTAGAATATTACTTTTATTATTAACAGTTAGTACAATCATAGTTGGTGGACGCAGAATAAAGGATGGAGATATATATGTAAGTATAAAGACTTATTAAGCAGCAGTTTTCTTTAAATACATAGCTTTGATTTTCTTCCGGGATATGACCCAGAAAAATGAATCATTTAAACATACATTATGCAAGAGCTAAATCTGCCAATTGCAGGTCTTTCTTTAGGCCTGAAATGTTATCTAAATTATTAATTAGACATTAATTAACTTATCCAGACCATAATCAATTCTCGATGTCATCGCTAGTCTGCGATATTTACTGGAGTATAATCCGATCTGCTGCTCAACGCTCATTCATGATTAAATTAAAAAAATGGATAATCGAGACTATGTTTTTTATCGGACCGACTTTAGTAATGATAACCGAGGTAGCCCAAAATTCAATCGCTAAATTCTTGGTTCAGAGTGGATAAATTTGAATGAAATTTTCAGCAAATTCCCTTTACATTATCTATTTTTTAACTATTATAGTAAGAACTGACAGCTCGTTATCTAATCTCCCATAATGTATCTTTAAGCAGAGACTGTTTAAATATCCACAAATTGTAGTTAAAAAGAAATAGTTGTTATTTTCACCCGTATTTGTCGTTTGACAGAAAAATGATAGTATTGACTAAGATAAATAAAGTAATTGATATACACGAGTGTATCCAGGATGGTTTATAGCAACTTTCGATGGTTTGCACTTTCAGATAAAAAAGAACTGACAGTTTAAGAAGAAATATCCTGAGATTAGCAGGTTTGTCGATGACGTCAAGCTATAGTATCCTTTAATAAATGGGGCCTTGGTTAGCTGATGGGGCGTTGTGTTTGTCTGGGATGAAGAAAAGAAAATGATGTTCATTTAAGCTGTAGTTCTAAACAAATGAGACTATATTCGATTCTAAATCACAAAAATGCCTGCTCAACATCACTGCACGGAAAACACCGTAAACAATATTATACGATCACAATACCGTTATAGCAACTTTTCTGGAGGTAGTGCGTTAATTCTGTTGTCCTGATATCAGATAAATAATGATTAACGCACCAGTACAGGGAACAAGAGGAAAGGACCGATGCTGATGGATGACCCTGTGAAGGAGCTCTGATATACTTAATACGAGATCATCTGATTACACCAAAAACCAGAGATGATGGTATGGTAAATCGTTCAGTCAATATCAACCAAGTCATTGTTCCTTTCTAACCATTCAGTCAGCCCACCCCCATCCTCAAGTTGAATTTGATTGTCTGAATTTCATCATCAGAGTAAAGCGTCTTAAGTAAAATTTAGAACAGTTTTTGACACCATGCTAAAATTAGAAAGTAGATGGTTGGCAAGTTAAAGTCAATAATTATAATAACAAAATAGAACCGGAATCGGTGCATGAAGAAGCTGCTTTATAATATTATACATAATACTTTATAAGTATACTACCGCTGGTATGTTCAGATGATAAGAGTATATAGTGCAAATCATTTTTTTTTATCCGAATACATCTATTAATTAAACGAATCAGTAATTAGTACGTGTTATATTATGTTTATACTTTTTTCGAAAAGGTATGTTACGTTTATATTTTTTTTTCGAAAGGGTACTTCAGTAATGTTTGCCTTAACGATATGACAGCATGCCTATCTTTTCTGTAAGTACTACGTTTGAAACGGTTACACCACAGATAAGACTGTTTGATGAACTCAAGACACATGTTTATGTAAGTTGTTCTCTAATTTTTGAAACCAGAATAGGTATTTGAATCTACTTCCGGAGTTGGCTGGCTATTTTTAAACATCTTTCTAGCCACCAGTAGCGAACCATTATTGCATTAGCAATACCTTTGGCTGTAAGTGTTGTGTTTGTGTTGATCAATCAAAATGAACGTGCTTATGTGGCATTTGAGGTCTTTAATTAATATTATTATTCACAATTCAAATTTGTAAACTAATCTACTGGTCTATATATATATATGTATAATTAGTTGTAATTTTAACTAAATGCGTATTTCATTTTATATTTTCAGACATTCCATGTTGAAAGCTTGACAAAGGATGAACTCGTTCAATTATTGGATGATCTGGGCTTCCACAGGAAGCCACAGTACATGATGGAATTGCCGGAGAAATATAAAAATGGTGCAAGTCCTTCTGACAGTGGAATAACATTCGATGATTTAATGGCGGGAAATACAAAGTGGTCTCAATACGGCACAATAATTAATGCTCATGATGAAATTTAAATTTCATACCGCCGTAATTGCATAAGTACAATCAAATAAAAGAAATATACAACTTCAAAACAAAAAACACAAATCTTTAATAATTAAACGAGAAAACATAAGATTCATTCAGAACAAAAATTAATGGTTTTATGATCACCATTTAAATATCAATTTATGTATGATTCCTGGGACCGGATGTTATTTTGCTAAATGAATGGGGCAGAATGCTAGCAAAACTGTTGTTTTTAGAGAATTTAGTACAAGTTACTAGTTGTAAAGCATTTCAAATTTTGATGACACTCTTTGTCGAAACAGTTTTTAACTGAGATGAAGGGTTGATGGATATGATTTAAAATGTTTTGTATATTTATGTAATTCGTATTGATTTCAAATAAAACGAAGTCATATTTTAGTCAACGGGTTATTGCTTTGTATGTCCCAATATTGAGTTTTTAATTATAGAACCCTAATGGAACCTCCATAAAAGGATAACGTCGTGGAAAACGCTACCTTAGACTAGCTAGTAGTTAATTCCAAGATCTGCCATTCTACTTATATTTAATGGCTTGTGGGTGTGGGTATTTCGCAACCGAAGCATGGAAATGAAATGAAAGTGGGTTTAATGTCCAACAATGACGGGCGTACGCAATACCATGGGGCAGCGGCGCTACGATCTACTCGTATATCGAATTCCAATAAGCAAGGGCTATTTTACTATACTTGCACGCGAACGACCTAGGATTTTCGTCCCATCCGAACGACTAGACACCTACCTTGTTATCCCCCCCCCCCCGCAGCAGGCCTGGAAATAATATTTTTTAGTTCTAGCTGACAAATCTTGTATCTGCTATTGTAACTCTGTGGTGGAAATGTATTAACAATATCAACAAGATGACTAGTCATCATCATCCCGCATCCTTGCACTTGTTTGGAAAAACAAGGAAAAACAACGTCATGGAATATCAATGGGACTAGTCAGAAGATACATACTCTGATCACAGTAGCTCGGCAAGGCACGGTCGCTACTCAATAACATTTGCCTACCTCAATCAGCTAATGTATGTTAAACATTAAGCTTATACATCAGATAATATAATAGTTTAATGTTTGTGCAAAGTTTCAAAAATATTTCTTGACCGGATAATAAAATATGCTCCGGGAACAAAATCGGAACAGAAGAACTCTCATCAGAAAAGAAAAAAATAGGTTGATGAATATAGAAGTGTTATAAAGTATCTTGAACAGTTTTTGAGATATGCTCTAGAATAATAATTATATACCAAACGTGTAGGAAAAATTCATTCAACAGAGAAATTTGTTTCCATGGAAACACAAAAATTATTAAATCCGAGAAATGTCTAATTAACAAAAGGCACAACTACTAGTTATACCACAGGTTGATGTTTGTACAGAGTTTCATGAACATATCTTGAATGATTTATGAGGTATGCTCCGGAAACAAAGTGTACACCAAAAACTAAGTCAAATTTGTTTCCATGGAAACACAAAAAATATAAATCCAAAAAATGTCTAAATATCAAAAGGCACATCTAGTGTAATAGGTTGATGTGTGTGCAAAGTTTCAAAAACATATCTTGAACGGTTTATGAGATATGTTCCGGAAACAAAATTGTACACCAAAAACTAAGTCAAATTTGTATCCATGGCAACACAAAAACATACATACAAGAATTTCCTAAATAGCAAAAGGCACAACTACTGTAATAGGTTGGTTGATGTTTGTAAAAAGTTTCATAATGATATCTTGAACGGTTTATGGGATATGCTCCGGAAACGTAATCGGGACGGAGACGGACATTTATCTTTTTCAAAAGTATCGAGCATAAAACTGTTTATCTACACTGTATACTTAATCTGAACAGAAAATGTTCACGATCAAGCATCGGCCAATGAAATTGTTTAGCTGTGCTTAGCTTTAGTAGGAAATAGTAATCATTGAACTCAGTCAAGACATTCACCTAATGAACATCTACATCACGTTTAAATATCTATATACCTCAAGGCAGAGTTATCATGTTCCAAAGTCTCAACCAATCAAATTGCTTATCTCTTCTTGGCCTTAGTGGAAATGCGCATGGTCGAACACTGTTAAGGCATTCGCCTAATAGACACCCACACCAAGTTTGAACATTCTACCTTAATTAGAAGGATCGTTATTGTGTTTCAAAGTCTCGACCAATCAAGTTGAATTATCCATTTTGCCTAGGCAGAAAATGCTCAGTATCGTACTTTGCTAAGGTATTGATGTGATGAAACTATACACGAGGTTTCATCACTATTCCTCAATTAGAATCAAAGTTGTCAAGCGCCAAAGTTTCGACCAATCAAATTGCTTATTACTCTGCTTACCTTGAGCCAAAAATGCTCTTTATCGAACTTAGTCAAGGTGTAATACTATAGGGTTTATTTTAGTTCTATGAAAGGTGCTCTGTTTAATATGTTGAAGTGGTTGTTAGACAAATGGGTGGCAACGAGAAATAGACTAAGTAGGTATTTTGCAAGATTCAAGTTTCTTAGACTAACTCACAGACATTTCCTGCCATCACCAATTCCTGAAAGTAGGGTACTATCGTCAAGTCATCCCGTGCACAGATTAGTCCAATTAAATAGAATAATGTTGACTTAAAACGATGCCAGTTCGAAACACTTACCCCAAAATGGTAATTGTCCCGCCCTAATAGCTGAGTTTAATTTGCATATAAGAAAGAGCGAGGTTAAATTTCCCTTCAGACATCGTTTAGAGATCCTAGGAGAGACATCGTTCTGAGTTCCAGGGGAACATCATACCCATAGCCTTCTCGGCTTAGGGGCCGGAATGGCTCTCGCCACAGAACACGCGCTAAGTGATAGAGAACTTATATTTAGCTTATATTTAATGTCATAGCTGTGTGTGTAGTTTCCTTTATGTAACCTCTGCATTATCGATGTTATAAAGATATAAAAACATAGTTAACCAACAAAGTGTTCCAGAGTCAATTGATCCTTGAAGTTTTAAACACAACGTGAAGTCAAAGTTAGTTCCGAATTGATCATAGTGTCACATTACCGCTTTTCGGTGCCGTGATGAAGTAGAGTCACGACGTAACCCTACCTGTAGTGTCACAGAGGTATTAATGTGATGAAACTATATACACCAAGTTTCATCACTCTCACTTAATTGGGACCAAAGTTATCGTGTCCCAAAACATCAACTAATCAAACTGCTTATCTCTGCTTACAGACATACCAATTTTAATAGTCTTCGAAAGGCGGGGGACATAAAATAGTACAAAAAGACAAATTCGTGCCAAGGAACATGACATACACCAGAGGTGTGACATAAATTTTTGTACCGGACAGTTAGCCTTATTTCCAGGATTGAAAATAAGAAAGTCAATAAGGGTAGTAGGTATGGTCTCAAAACTGTGACGAAACATGGGAGCCACTATGGCTCAGTGAGTAAGACACCGGCTACACCGGTTCTCTAGCATGGAGGTCGCGGGTTCGGTCCCCCTACCCGCCACCCCCTCCCCCGTGTTGACCGAGAAAGTTCATCGTTTAGTCGTGTGGATGGTCGTTGGCGTGCACGTAAAAGATCCCTTGGCAGTTGGAATTCGGTATAAGACTAGGTTATAGTGCGCTGTCTGGACAAACTTTCCCTCGGAGCACACTGAATGGCATATTCCCGTCTTCATTTTACTCCCCCCCCCACCCATTTAAAAGGTTTTAGCGATTGTCAATAGTCCCTCAGATAAAGGGAGATAACATCATTTAGAAAGGAATGTTGGCGAATTATGTAAGGAACGAGGGGAAAATATACGTGTTTTAAAAATAGATACTGGGTGGAAATTATACCGGCACCACAGTGTAATATTGATCTCACTGTTTCCCTATAATAAGGAATTAAAGAATAGTGATGCTGTTTACCGTGTTTATATCAGATGTTTACTGTAAATGATTCACTTTTAGTATTTTAGCTTTTGCAGCAAGCTGTCAAATAAAGCCTGGATCGTTAAATTCTTGTAATAGTTGTAGCTGAACAGACGGATAGATTCAAATCAAGTCTCGTGTCGAGCAGACGATCAAGACACCCTATATGTCACACCGCCCTCTACATGCATTCAGACGTGTATATCTACCACATATCTAAGATTTCATTGTTTTATTTATAGTGTGAAATAAGGTAAGTAATTCTAATTTTTCAGTAATCACTATAATATTCCAGTCTGGTCTGAAAATCCATATCAGCTGTAGACCGTGTGTAGACCACAGTTTTGTCTCCGACTATCCACAGGTGGGTTAAGACCACCAATTATTTTCGACAAAACAGGCGTTGAAATTCTTCAAGAATGAGTAATGCACTTTGTTTACTATCTATTTTGTAACTCGTTGAGAAAGATGGTAGTAATAATATCTGTCTACATAATGATAAATGTGTGTTAAATCGTAATTGCTAAATCATAATTTTCTCGAAGCTCAAACAAGATAACATCAAAGCATATCATTACTGATTGAGTAGACTCAATTTTTTCCCAGCACGTGTTTGAAATCTGTATCTTAGAATTACAGGTTGTTGGGTTGTTGGGTTGTTGGGGGTTTTTTTTATGGGAGGCAACTCTATTATTACCATGTTTGCTATTATTACCGTTATGCAACTAATCAATGAATTTTCTGCATTCCTGATCATGATTTTCATATGGATCGATTTTTATCTTTTATCATTGATCGAAAACGAAACAGCTTTCATCTTCCTGTAAATCAATGATTTTATCAGAAAAGGGTCCGATTTCTTAAATCACTATAATCACTAATACAAAAAGAATGTCAAATGATATCCGACATTAGATCCGGTATTATAGATTTTCTTTTGTAGGAATTGCTGTTACCTTGTTTATTATTGGTTGATGATGATGGCGAACACTGCGAACACCTGCTATTCAAAACAAATACTGGTTATATATATAGTGAAAATATATATACATTAAAAATTGCTTTGTATTCTAACTCTTCCTGGGCACCATGTGGTATAGCAAGTGTTCTTGGTGCCAGGGAGTAACATACTTTTGGCGCCGGCACACAATAGTCATATAGTTTCGACCTATTTTGTTAAAACAAATACCAATTTAAAGTGCATACTATTACTAAATTTAAAATACCTTGTTTGTCTCAAAATGCCCAAAGCATTTTATTGACGAGACGTTAAATTACATTCCATTTAATATCTTTATATTTGAATACAAAATTATTCAACTGCGTCTCAAACATAAATACAACACGCTCATTCTCTTCTGAAAGGGGGGGTTGGGTGACTTAGTGGTTAGCACGTGCGCGCTCTATCATTAAGTCTGTCATTGAGTCAACTGGCGTGGTTTCGAATCCCCGATTGTACGTGACAAGAAGTAGGGTCGCCTGTTCAACCTCGTGGGTTTTCTCCGGGTCCTCCGGTTTCCTCCCACTGCTAAAGACCCCTACGCGCAAGCGAATTATTGAAATAAAATTAAACCACATGTTAGTCCCGAAATGACCCAGTTAGTGTCGAGTGGACGTCAAACCCCATTTCTCTCTCTCTCTCTCTCTCTCTCTCTCTCTCTCTCTCTTCTGAAAGTGTAATTTCTATTACATAACTCACTATAACCGATTGGGTGACTTTGGAATGTAGATATAAGTGTGTATTATGCCAGGATGTTTATCTAAATTGATTTGGTTTCTGTTGTTTGATTGAATCAGACGCAAATAACCATATATTATTACTATCATTACACGTACTTTACGAACTCTTGAATCAGAATATTTAACCTGTTTCTATGGATCATAATAGATGACATAGAATTGTTTGCAGTCTATCCTCTAAGTTGTCGTCTGTCCGTCACATCACGAATGATATCTCCTTTAACAGTCGACTGACTCTTGTAGGGTTTCTTTCAAGATTAAACCGTGAAGTTCTTGATCTGATTTTTAAAAGTGTGTAGGGTTAGTTAGGTTCATCGTTGTTTGTTGTTTGTTGGATATATATTTTTTAAATTTGGTGGAATTCGTGATAAATAATGTATCTAATTCATGAACGTTTTTATATGCTGACCTTTACGCATATAGTATTATACCAAGGCTGTGGATCCTCTAGAGGTCACAATTTTGATCCGATTTTGGTGAAACATAAAAATATATGTGGGGCGGTAACATCCTGAATTATGGCCCCTGGGCGTATTTTGTTGTAGGTTATGGGGTTTTAGGGGGAGCGTCACATTTTCATTTTGCACTAGGGGTTGACCGAAGGAGGTATATAATTCCGCAACTGGAAGTGATCATAGAACTCTACCCTTGTATACGCCACTCCCCGGATAGAGCTGTCCCTATTCTCAAAATTTCAGCCCCGGATAGCCCCATATGGTCACCAACTGGCAATTTCTCTCTTGTTATCTATCTTGAAGATATTAGTAGTTGGTTTTTTTCCAGAAACTTTGTGACTTTCTAATTGTAGCAATATCTAGGAAAAGGGAAAATCCATCATAATTTAATTTCTTCATAATATGTCCCTTTAAGGGTGATGTCAGCCAGTGATGCTCACCGTATGTTTCTTTAATTCAGTGATTATTTCTGAAGTGAATAGGTCATCATACCATAGGCCAATCCAGGAATTTTTTCGCAGGAGGGGGTTTGCCAGGCTCTTGTTAAGGAAATTTGACAGTTGATAATGCATTTTGCCATCATTCTCTATAAATTACGTAGGCATACATACACACTAAGCTTTTTAAAGAGAGAAATTCGACACCCCGTTTGACGTCAATTTTATAATAAATTAATAGTATTGTGATTCAATTTCATTGATGCAAAGCATTAATTGTGATATCACACGTGTCTATATCATTATTTCGCGCTTTGAATGCCAATCCCATCCCACCATCTGATGATAAGGGATAAAGTACACGACCGTTACACTTTTATCATAAAGTGTTGTTTTAGAATTGGGTGTCACTAGATAAGGGAAAAACGAGAAAAATAGAAAAATCACGTGCATTCCCCCGTTTTTATTCATTCTGTTCTTAATAAAAAAAACATGGTAATGCACGGACTTTTTCTAATTTGTTCGTTATCTTTTATCTAGCGACAGCCAATTCTTTTTTTTGAATTGTCAGATATCCTCTCACCGTCTCATATAATAACTTTTCATCTTCAACTGAATTATCAGTGAAATGAAATTCGATCGTTTGTCTGTTATAGCTCGTTACTTCAGTCAGATATATAGAACGATAACTCGTATTTGTCATGTTTGTCGTCACTTCACGTTTCTTCACGTGCTTGTTACACATCTCCCGTAGCAATGATCTCTGTGTTAAAATTATATTTGGGATGTATTTAACCAGTTCTATCACATATTTTATACTGACTGAAACCAATATTGTCCTTTAAGTAGATGGTCATACATGAGCATGAGATGGTTAATACTAAACTATTCTCTTGGTAATCTTTAAGAGGCATTTAGTAACTGGGTAGAGCAATACACAAAAAACACATACTTATGGAAAAACAGCTACTTATTTATTTGGGCGACGTTTCGAAGAGTATTCTCTCAACGTTATCAAGCTAATACAGTAGTACAAGAATAATGAGATCAATATATACAGAAAACTGTAACAACAATTCATGAAACCATACAGGACAACAACAAGATCAAAGGGGTTTATTCTACAAAAACTAATTAAGTGTGAAGAGTAGCCATTGAGTATAGTTAAGCAATTAGGTAGCTATGATGATAGATACAATACTACCGGCAGAATGGGATAGTACCTACAATACAATTATGATATACCATGGTTTGTTTAGATAATGGTAATTAACTTTATATGTCTGTGTGATTAAATGTACAATTAGACTAGAGTAACCCATATGTGTAATAATTCTAAGAAATAGAGTGGATATAACTGATAAATTGATAATAATATTAGAAAAAATGAAAAATAATAAAACTCATAAAAATTCAAAGGTTTCTTATCCACTGTACTGTAGAATGAGTGGGGGTGATGGAAAACACATAATTTAGGTATATTTAATAAGTTCATCATAAGCACTAGGCAGGAATATCCCTGTGTCGCGGTTGAGGTCTGGACTGTTTCTTTTAATGTGTATGGCCTCAATAATTTTGCGGGTTTTTTCTATCGGTAGGTTGGCCGCCAGGGTTCTATACGTTTTAATTCTGTGTCCTGGGTTGGATTGTGTGTGTTGGGCCACAGCTGAATTGGTAGTAGAGGATTTAGATTTATGCTGACTGATTCTCTTGTCTAAAGGCTGTCTAGTTTCTCCAATGTGTTTTTTGTGTATTATTCTCTTGGTGTTATGGTATGAGAGACAATACCTAGTTGAGAGTATAATAAACAACAGCAGATAAAGATCTGTATACACGGAATATTTTTTCAATTAGTTTATTAACTAGAATCAGGATGAAAACACCAAGTTGATGAATAATTAATTCACATTCTGTATACGAAGCATATTTTTCTCTCTTAATATTTTACGCTTAATCGATATATAAATGTTAGTTTACAGATTTAAAAAGATTTTTAGATATTGTGGAGCTGTTCGGTTGTATAAATATATTATACGAAAATCTCTAACCGTCATTTCAGGGATTGAATAATAGTCGGAAAATGTTTCCTATCCGTTCATCCAAATGACCGTGTTTTTGTAATGATATTCATTCTAATAATATATTTGCTATCGACCTTTATAAATAAGAATACAATTTTTTTTGGTATATAATAAAATAAATAATTGATTATTTTTACATGTAAGGACTTATACCGTAGAAATAACTCAATAAATGGTAACATATGTAGTTGCAAGACTACATCATCATGTGTGCATCATTAATGGTTGACAAATTTCATTAACGGCAGCGCTACACGCTTTGCAAAATTATTGGTCTGATCTTGTAATTGTGGACCAACTGAATATACGTTTTCTTCAAAAACATTTTCATGTGGACGTATATTTTCGTCTGTCTGTCGGTCCGTTCACAATTTGTGGACACTCACAGGTCACAATTTTTATCCGATTTTGACGAAACTTGAAATATCGGTTCCTGTCGAAATTGAGATGTGTCGGACCATAACTACATGGATTATGGTCCTTAATTGTACGAAAAATCGAGTTTTTAGCTCGAGAACACTCTAAAGGTCACAATTTTCA